CTGACTGTAAACTGTTTTTTATTGAACTATTCAAATGTAGTTACCCGACAGGTAGTATCATAGACACTCCGTATCCCTCGTGCACACCTAACCACGTGTTTCACCTCTCGTATTGGAGGCATACGAGTTAACAATGACGCGTTCGATGGATACAAAACGTTATGTGAAATCCTGTGATTGGGATTCTTGCCGGATTATGAGGACACAAACAACACAGGTTGTAAATAATGCCTGTTAAAGTATAGTCCTCATGTATACTTTGTTTAATTCCTTAACATTGTTCATATAATTGTTAAAGTAGTTTATCTTTAGTCAATAAATATACTGTGGGTTGGCTGAAAAGCCCGGGATGCTACCAATAAGGTTGGTATCAGAAGCAAAGTTATTTCTTTTGTTTTGTTTCATGTTTTATACTTATAAAATCACTTTGTTTTTCACTCTGTCATGTTTACAAAAGAAAATTGGGTCATAACTTTGTACATGGACTATGTAAAGTGGAAGAAATATATAAATACTTCGCAATGGTAGATAGAGTAAGAATATTATGTTCAAATTGTCAAGGGTTAAATAATGAAAAGAAAAGAATAGATGTGTTTAGAAATTGTAAAGAGAAAAATGGACATATTTATTACATCCAAGATACTCATTTCACAAGAGATATGGAGCAAAAAATCAAAACAGAATGGGGGTCAGAAATTCGCTTTTGTTCGTTTAGTAGTCAGTCAAGGGGGGTTGCAATACTGTTTCAAACAATTTAGACTTTCAGATACTTGATGAAATTTATGACAACGAAAACGGAAATTACATGATTCTCAAAATAAAGTCGAGCGATAACATCTTTACTGTTACCAATATATAAGGCCCAAATGTGGATACGCCAGAATTTTACACAAATATTAAGAATTTAATCAACAAGCTTGATTGTGACACAAATATAATGTGTGGCGATTTTAATCTCGTACAAAATCAGCATATAGATACATACAACAATAAACACATTAATAATCCAAAAGCCAGAAATGTTGTTGTCGATGTGTTAGAAGAACTTAACCTTTACGATCCTTGGCGCGAAGTTAACTTGAACACCAAAAGATACACCTGGAGAAAATCGAAACCTCTGAAACAAGCCAGATTAGACTTCTTTTTAATTAGTAGAAACCTCGAGAAATCTGTGATGTCATCTGATATATTGACAGGTTATAGATCTAATCATTCCCTGATAGGATTAGAACTCCGATTCACTAAACTTGAAAGGGGACCTTGGTTCTGGAAGTTTAACAATAACTTGTTACATGATCCAAAGTATGTTAGCAAAGTGATGATTACAGTAAAGTTGATACCGAAGGGGAAAACATTTAACTATCAATGACCAACTGTTCTTCGAAGTACTTTTGTGTAATATCCGAGGTTCAACTATAAAATATTCCTCTATAAAGAAACGTGAAAGTTTGAAAGAAGGAAAGAAATTAACGATTCACTTGAGAGACTGGAAATTTCGTTAGATGATCAAAATCAGGACAAAGAACAAGGAAATGTTCTTAAAGAGACAGATGAACTTAAAGACAGGCAGTTAGAGATAAGCAAAGTAAAAACGGAGGGAATTATGATTAGGGCTAAATCTAATTGGCAAGAAAAAGGAGAGAAACCAACGAAATATTTTCTTGCTTTGGAAAAACAGAAATTCGTAAACAAAGCGATAACAAAATATAATCCTCTACTCACCGATACGGAGGATATCATTAAACATGTTCATTGTTATTACAAACATTTGTATTCTAGCCAAAGCTCAAAAGATATCAACCTTCAGGACTTATTTAAAGAATCAAATATTCCCAAATTATCCAATGAACATTCTCCATCACTTGAAGGAGAACTCCAATATGATGAAGTTCTTAATGCTCTGAAAAATATGAAAAATAACAAAAGTCACGGACCTTCTGCTTACGAAAAATCCGAATTCTTTAAATTCTTTTGGAAGGATATTCATACATTTTTGATAAACTCCTTGAATTATGCGTATTTTAATGGGGAACTATCGGTCAGCCAAAACGAGGTCTTATTACATGTTTACCAAGAAAGGAAAAGCCTGAAGAATACATAAAAAACTATAGACCCATATCCCTACTAAACATATCATACAAAATAGCATCAGCTATTGCAGCTCGTATAAATAATGTACTACCAACTATAATTAGTGAAGATCAAAAAGGATTTATGAAAGGAAGATATGTCGGTGATTGCACTAGACCGAACAAATGAATATACCAGGGAAACTTATACTAATCGACTTTGAAAAAGCTTTTGACTCTGTTGAATGGAAATTGATTAAGAGTTGTCTCGATTTTTAAGTTTTGGACCCTCTATTACACATTCGATTAAGACTTTTTACAATGATCTAAAATCAAGTGTTCAAGTTAATGTTTTTTCCAGTGACTTTTTCAATATTTCGAGAGGATGTAGACAAGGCAATCCACTTTCACCATATATTTTCCTTATCTGTACAGAAATTTTGGTACACATGTTGAGGGAAAATAAAAATGTAAAGGGTATTAAATTTCCTGAGATCGAATATTTATTAACTCAATTAACGTATTCTTGATGGAATGGAAAAATGCTTTCAAGCAACCTCGGGTATACTTAATAAATATGCTGAATTTTCTGGCCTTAAAATATGCATAGAACAAACTAATACAATATTGATTGGTTCTATGCAATACTCAAGCATTCAATACTGTAAGACCTTCAAACAAAATTGGTCCCAAAGACCCTTTACTTTACTCGGAATTCAGTTTCAACACAACCAGACTGAAATGATTGAAAGAAATTATAAAGACAATCTAAAACAAGTTAATAAGACAATGACGACGTGGTTAAGAAGAGACATTACTCCATTTGGTAGAATTACTGTCCTTAAAAGCCTTATATTACCTTCCCTAAACCATCTTTTATTGTTGCCAAATCCAAGAAGTGATATCATTCAAAATCTACAAAAAAGATGCTTTAAATTTGTGGGAACGGAAAACCTGACAAGATCAAGCGAAACACGATTATTCAATCGTACAAAGATGGGGGGGTGGGGGTAAATGTACCTTTAATTCTTGAAACAATACAGGCTCAAAAACTCTCATGACTGCACAGAACATTAGTTAAACATTCTAATATATCACATGTTATAGATCTTGCTATTCCAACAAAAAGTCTTCATCCAACAGAGATGGGAGCAAAAGATTTAAAACACACTATTATCCCAAATATCAGAAATGTTTTTTGAAAGATGTTTACAAAGCGTGGGCAAATATGCAATCTTTACAAACAAATGATGATATAGATGCTGAAATATCACAACAATATATATGGGCAAACGACAATATCACCGTAGATCAAAAACCAATTATTTATAAACATTACTTGAAGGGAAATGTTAAATTCATTAATGATCTACTGAACAAAGATAGTAATTTTCTTACCTATGAGGAGTTTATTTCCCTATACAATATTAAGACACATTTTTTAGAATATAGGGGTATCATCAACTCCATCAAATCATACTTACTTTACTATGTGTAAAGTAGAGGAGCCATTTATTCCTAATAATATACATATTCTTTACAAAGAACGTAAAGGATGCAAGATTTTCTACTCTGTCTTGTTAAGGAAACATATATTAAAAGAAAAGCTAAACAGCCAGCTTAAATGGGAAAGGGATATCAACGTAGATATATCAGAACATCTCTGGAAAATTGTTAACTATGTACCTTTTAGAACAACTTGTAATACACAATTCAGATGGCTTCAATATAAAATTGTCCAAAGAATCATTACAACAAACAAAGATTTATGTTACTATAAACTGACACAATCTGCTTCTTGTACATTTTGTAGTGTTACAATCGAATCAATTATCCACATATTTTGTGAGTGTGTACATGTGAAAACGTTGTGGCAACAACTGAAAGCCTGGATTGAACAAGATACAGGCACAAGATTAATTCTGGATGTAAAACATATCATCTTTGGATATAAAGAAAAACGAAATGATTTATTAAACCTGATTATCATCGCAACAAAATACTATATATATGCAAAGAGATGTTCTAATTCGCATCCGGAGTTTGTTGGATTAAAAACTTACCTACACAACCTGTATAAAAAATTAACAAATGTACTGCCTTTTCGCACTGTAACTATGGTAAATTCTTAACCTTTTGGTCAACTTGCCATAACTTCTTCACATAAATTACAAAAATAACAATGTATCCTACTACTATCTACCACTCTTGTTCATACTTTGTATATTTATGTACCACAAATGCAACAATTGTGTACCCATCAAAAAGAAATAAAGTAATAAAAAACAACAACCCAATGTCATGCGAGCAGATAGGTTCCATCAAATCACCAGCTTAATCACTTCGTTTCAACCCATTGTCAGCTCTATAGACAAATGTGAATGGGAGAAAACGGCTACAGCTGTTACAGGCTTAAATGTTGTCATTCACGCTGAGGTTTGATAGTTATTTAGGCTATGCCATACAGGTGGAAGCCACACTTTGTGTGCTGGCGATTAGGTGCCTGGCTCTGAGGGTGTGGGTTCGACTCCCGGATGGGACCCAACCCCAAAAAAGTACTAGAATCTGTACTTTACTGAGAAAGTGTAATCCCAAATATAACATATGTTACATTTCACCACTTTCTAAAATGGAATTGTGTATTTAATGGGTGTTAACTGACAACAACATTACAGTTTGCAACATGTTTCGCATCCATGCATTAAACAATGCAGTTCTTGATTCATGATTCATGCACTCAATCAATAACAAAACATGTGTAAAGATGCTTGTGATCGGAACCTGCTTAAAGCTGCATTACTCATAGGTACTTTCACACAGTGTTGTTTACTTTTCAAAGTTCTTTTAGGTAAGCTTGTTTTCAAATGTGTGGATTTAGTATTTCAAGCAACGCTGCAGGTTATCTGGAGGTTTGGACGTATCAACGCATTAACGCCTTGAACAGATACCTCCATATTTCCTCTATTTCCACTACCCCAAGGATAATTGGAGAAAATACTCATGCTAATTAAAAGATCGCACAAACAATCCATAACCTTGAATGATCATTACTATTGTTCGTATTTGTTATGAAAAAAGATCAATACTGTCTTCATTCCGATGTTCCCCAAACACGAAGTCCGGCATAGGATTATAATCAAACATCTTGAACTCAGGTTCAAACATCTTCATCAATCTGACCTTAGCATCATAGGTCAGGGAGCCATATGCTCGTCTCAGTGCTCTGTCTCTCGCCTCGTGTAGAATACTGGGCTTGGACGCTTTGTATGCTCTTTGTGCTAATTCATTGAAACGTTCGAATGTTATTTTGGTATCATTTGCTTGTAAAGGAAATGGAAATTGTATCGATATCATTCCCCGAATCTGCCATGTTTTCCAGGCTCTCCGGAGTCCTTCAATAAGTGACACACCGGATCTTTCCATGGCCCTCCGAGTGCTATTTATCACATTACGACCCATTTTGTAAATCGTTTCCGACTTACCATGGAAGCAATTCTTTAATATATTCTCCCCGACAGTCGTAAAGTTGAGCAAACCCATGACGTCACTCATATAGACCACGTCATCTCGAAACGTCTCCATCTTCCCAATGTACGTATAATCAATCTCACAAAACCCACAGTGTTCACTCATTGGTTTAAAATGGCTGTCAATGTTCTTTTTGTTTTCATGGCAGTAAATCACGTAATCCACCAACTCGGCAAATGTTATTTCGTGACCGCCACGTGATCTTTTAGTATGGGAAGCGTTAAATCGAACGACAGACCTTCCCAAGGTATTCCAGAACGAAGGTCTGAAAAAGAACAGTTTGTCAACATATCCCGAAAACAGTCTCTGGTACGGTTCTCTAACAAATGCCAACATTGTGTTAGATAGTCTGAGCGAGCCGCGATCATATTCAATGGAAATGTCATACCCTCCCTTGGTTTTTGACTTGTCAGCGGTTTTCCTATATGCAGTATAAACGTGTCTCCAGAAGGTACTGCCAACCTTTGGTATCATACACATGGAATAACTTGGCTGGCTAGATTTGTGATCGTACGTCAGGTGTTTGTTGACATTTCTTAGGAATTGTTTATTCCCTAACTGGTCGCAAGCCTCTTTCAAGATTTTTCTCCTGTGAGCAAATCTTCGTTCAAGGTGAGCCTTCATCAGTGGGCTTTGCGTCAGAGGTGATTTGAGGTCTCTCAGTGCCTGCAAAAAATACGATATACGAGGGTCGGTCAAAAAGTACATAGCCTAACTATATTCTCGATGTCCAATGTTTGAAAAGCTTCCATTTTAGTTTGTAGGAATCATTAGCAAAGTCGTATAACAAATTTCACATATGTGGGTAATGTGATTAACGAGATATTAGTCATCACAACACATTGGGGTATAATATTTCTAGAAAAAATGCAGAAAATGAAAAACGAACCGTCATTTAGTACCTCTTGGATAATGGTATGCCCTCAGATAATGTCATATAAAATATGTTACTATAGTATTGGATGACTTCCCGTCATAATCAACATTCAAAGATTTGGATTGCTTGATTTATGTTTAGACAGGGCTGTTTTTTTTAAGGACACACCCATTTTAGTCTTTCAAAGACATTGTGTCCAGATATTCAAGCTAGCCCTGTTTACAATATACTGAGAGTTGACACTTGTGTGACCATTCAGTATTTACTTTGAACCTTTAGCATCATGTGAAAAGTGAAACATTAGAATAAGTTATGTCCTTATGAATTCGTCATCTAAAGGGGGGTGGGTAGTGTCTCCAAAACAAGCTGTTTCAGTAAACATGAAAGGGGAATCACTTTAACAAGCGATTGTACTTTCAAATTACTTTTTTATCCACTTTAATATCTAAGTTTGATTCTAGCGGACGTCTACCTATCTCAAACACACAAACTGTTTCTTGCATATTTTGTTACCTGAAGTTTGTGGTGCATTTATTGCAGATTTTGCGCTTTTGGGGGGTACCAAGATAAAATTTCAAACAAAATGGGGATCGTAAGGCTGGAACGTAGCAAAACCAATTTGCTTGAGGTTGACACATAATATGTACAAAAATAAAACATAAAAACAGCTGCATTTGTATCATTTACTAGGTCAGGCTCACTACTTTTTGACTGTCCCTCGTATATTTATAACTCTTCTCACCTATATGATGGATAGTATCGTTGGTTGGTTGTCGTTTAACGCCGCACTCAGCAATATTCCATTTATATGTCGGTGATCTGTACTTATTGAGTCTGGACCAAACTATCCAGTGATCAACTGCATGAGCGTCTATCTACTCAATTGGCATACGAGGACACGTGTCAACCAGGTCAGCGAACCAAACCACACGATCCCGTTAGTCACCTCTTACAACATGCATGGTTTGCCGAAGACCAATTCTAACCCGGATCTTGACGGGTAGATAAAGGATCGAGTAAGGGCACCATAAGCCAATACTGGATATGATGCTCAATGTGACACCTCATCTTGACTCATCAACCCCGAACCTTTATAGCATGTTTTTTCGTGTCAAAGTTAAGGGGGGCGTTGGGGTAGCCTTGTGGTCAAAGCGTCCGTTCATCATGCCGAAGACCCGGGTTCGATTCCCCACATGTGTGAAGCCCATTTCTGGTGTCCCCCGCCGTGATATTGCTGGAATATTGCTAAAAGCGGCGTAAAACTCACTCTCTCACTCACTCAAAGATTAAAGACTCAATGCGTCACTTAAACCACGTTCAAACAGTCAGTGTTGTTTTCCTCACATCAAACAATTTGAAGATTGCAAATAAATCGTCAAGCTTGTAAATGCTTTTGTATTGATATAATATGCAAGCCTAAACAATTTTCCAAAAATAAAATATAGAAAACGGTATTTCCTTGATTAGATTGGCAAAGGGAGTTAACTGGTATGAACTGTAATACGATAACTCTGTATGGTGAGTAAGTGAGTGAGTTTGAGTTTTACGCCGCTTTAGCAGTAGCACAGCGGAGGACACCAGATATCTGAAAAAGATGCATTTCACCTAAATCTGAACGCATTTGAGAATTTGTTTTCGTGATTTGCATAAAGCTGTTTTGCTAAGCTTTCTTGTAAACCAATACGTTCTAACATATCTATTATAGTTTTTAAGTAATTCATAAAGTTAGGAGGGTAACGTCTCTTATGGCGTTTAGTGCTTGTTAGATGAGTTGGAGCTGGACCTTACACTGTTCAAAGTGAAGAATGGAAGCATACGCTGTATCAGGAATGGCAGAGGAATCAGATGCTAAGGATACGATGCTTGCTTTCCAGTATGAGTAGGAGACTGGAAGATGCGATAAGTCCGAGAGATGGCAACACATGATAGTGGTGTGGTCGCATGTGTTGGTTCATACAAACCATTGTTTAAAAACTGTGCGACAATCAGATGTGTGGGGTAGTCATGGTGACCATATTTTCCCGCATTGTTCATGTTCACGTTTTTGTGTATTCTTCTCAGATTGCAGTAATGTGTTACCATGTTTCAAGTTCAGTTTTGTTTTTGTTGAAATTAGAGTAAAATGTATTACAGTTGCCATTTTTACCCGTGTAATTTTGGTTTTCAAAGCATATGCAAGAACATGTGTTTTCGTGATCTTCTTGAAAAAGTGGGTTATTGCATGATTAATGCTCATTGATATATTTCATCATGGCGTTGAGCATGAAGTCCAAATTCAATATCGCAACTTGTCATTTGGAGTATAACTGCCACAGGGCCTGAAAGTGACGAAGATTATTATGTCACCATGACTTTTCCCTTTCTAATAAAATTTTGTGAATATTAACTTAGTGTATTATCATCAACCTTCTGGAAACGAACACCTCATAACTAAAGTATGTTGAAATGATATTTTCTTAAAGAAACGTATTGAAAATATTCTATCTCAAGTTTGTAAAATCGAATTAGTCAAAATTGTCACTGAATTGCAATAATGTAATTGGTTTGTAAAAAAATATTAAACAATAAAAGTGCAGTTTAGTGATGTCTACAGTACTCAAATAATGGCTGCTCCCTTGCGAAAGGCAACTCCGGATTATCTGCCACATTTGCCCTTGAGTCGAATTATAAAAAATATACAAAAAATGAACTTTAACGGATTATTGTCCTTGAGTTCATTTGCCAATTACCAGGTGTATTTTTAGTCAGTATTGATAAGATAAAACCATAACATATTTATCTTTTGTCATGGAGCGGCATATTCGAAAAACTGTCTGCTACCTGCCATTTTGGATAGAGAGACGATATATATTTTGGGGATGTTTTTTACTAATGTAAATTAACTATTTCTTCTCTTTTCCTGTAATTGTAAATCATTAATTGTGAAATGTTTGGTTTGTAATGATTGGCTATGCAAGAGGAAACACTGAAAATTATGCAGCATTTTTTGTCTACTGCACATGCGCAAACAGGACAAAAAAAATTAATTGTGTGCCTGCATATATGAAATTATTTGGAAATGTTCTTGAAAATGATGACCAACTTGTGTGCTTTTATCATTAAATGCACATTTTAATGGAAATTTGATCTCACACGCTTCACTAATAACAAGAGAGACAGGGTAACGTCCAATTGCGTAGACCAATGCTCATGCTGTTGATCACTGGCTTGTCTGGTGCAGACTCGATCATTTACAGACGGCGTTAAACAACAAACCAACCAACCCTTTAGTGTATTGACGTGTTTAATTTGTCATAACAAGAGAGACTGGGTAACTCTCGGTCATACCTTGAGGTAAGGTGAAATTGGGTTTAACGTCGTGCTTGAGAATATTTCGCTCACATGACGACGTGCATGCGTGTGTATGTGTATGTGCGGCTGCTTGTACCAGCCCAGACTGAAGCTGGTTTCATAGTGCTAGCCCACTGAGATACCATGCCGCAGTGAAGCACGAATACCCCACTCAGACACATTATACTGACTTCGAGCCGACCAGTCCTTGTTGAACCCATTAATGCCGAGCGCCAGGCAGGGACCAACAAGTACCATATTTAAACGACTTTAGAATGACCCGGCCGGGAATCGAACCCGCGACTTTCCGCTCTCCGGGCGGACGCTCTAACCACTACACCACGGAGGCGGTCTGCATACCTTGAGAGATACATGATTGTCTGAGTTTGGAGCCAAACAAACAATGTTGACATACACCAAAATACAGGTGAACTTTGATTTTGACATTACATTTATATGGCTTGGCTGTACAAAAGACTAACCCAACTCACTCACTCACTCATATTGTAGCATATATTTTACGAAAATATTTTATCTGAGAGAATAACTGCCCCTTGATCCATACATTAGAACCACATGTTAACCTCCTTTTATTAAAAGTTTGGGTTCCAATGTTACGTAATGGAATTACTCCCACTGTTATCTTTTCACTTTTCTGTTCATATGATTATAAACCCATGCGTTTTACGACAGGTTTGCGGTAGGGTAGCCTAGTGGTTAAAGCATTCGCTCGTCACGACGAAGGTCTGGGTTCGATTCCCCACATGGGTACAATGTGTGAAGCCCATTTCTGGTGTCCCCCGCCATGATGTTGCTGGAATGCTGACAGAGCATTTAGGAGACAATGAAATGTAGGATAATTCTAAACCAGTGTCACCATTTACACTTAGCTGTACAAAAGACTAACTAGCCATTCATATCTAACGCGCAATTACCTCAATGATACTGCTTGATGAAAGTTCCGGTTGTTTTACAGTTCCATCTGAAACAAATCGTGGACGCTTAAATTAAAGGAGTGGGTCCCGACCCACAAAACGTTCGAAGCGCTGCGACATTCGTAAGCTGATGGTATACTATGGAGTTAAGACAAGTCGTACGCTTTGTTGATCCGGACCCAGGACCCACAAAACGTTCGTAGCCCTGCGACATTCGTAAGCTGATGGTATACTATAGCGTTAAGACAAGTCGTACGCTTTGTTGATCCGGGCCCAGGACCCACAAATGTAAAGTAAGAAATTTCAGTGGAGCGGAGTTGAGTTCGGTTGGGTTTTACGTGGCATCGGCAATATTTCAGCCATGTAGCGACGAGACCAAGTGGGTATTTATACACATTTTATGTACAAAGTTTAAATGAGGTTTTGAAAAAATATATATATATCTATTCTATTATCGAGTGGAATCCTTCCATTGCAGTGAACAAACAAATTTACAATGCTATCTTCACATTTACAAAATTATCTTCTGTTTGTTCACGTAACAAACGGAAACATGAGTCTCATGCACCAATTCAGACAATGGCCTACTTTTCAGCCGATCCGGTTTCTCGTGTGAAAGTGAAAAGAGGCACTACAAACAACTATGGTTAGACGAATTTCCAATTCCTTGTTTCATTGTCAAGTTCATGTCCTGAAATAGAACCTCTCAGTTTACTTCAGTTGTTTTATCTATCCACCGGTACGCAAGCTAAGATTTTTGTGTGTACGCATGTAAGATCACATTTATTGAGTATTTACAAAAATTCAAGCGTACTTGTACGCAGGAGACTGAATAGAAATTGAGTTTTCACATAAATATTTGCGTAATTTACGCAGATACGCAGCTTGTCTGTACCTCTGAGCATGGGTTGCTGAAGGCCAATTCTTATCCCGGTATCTTCACGGATTCGTTCGCAATGAAACAGAGCCGTGAGGTCCGGGTAATTAGAATTGGTCTTTAGCAACTCACGCTTGCGACTAACGAGACCGGATGATCAGGTTCGCTGACGTTGTTGATGCAAGTCATTTGATCCAAGTGACTGACTGACTGACTGAGTTTGGTTTTACGCCGCGCTTTTAGCAATATTCCAGCAACATCACGGCGGGGGACACCAGAAATGGGCTTCACACAATGTACCCATGTGGGGATTCGAACCCGGGTCTTCGGCGTGACGAGCCAACGCTTTAACCACTAGGCTACCCCACCGCCCCTTGATCCCAGTGAGGTTGACGCGATGTTTTACAGTCATCTAACTTAAATATAGTTGAGTGCGGCAGTAAACGACAAACAGAAAAACGAAATAGCGCAGTAGGCCCTGATTTTAATATATGTAATGCACGGGTTCAGAGGTAACAAAATATTATGTATTTAGAGGATCGCCAACCACACACTAACCTGTCATCCGCAAATATATGACCCAAGCACCTAGGCCTTGAAGCACAGCAAGGACAGCGATAATAGGTCTCCGTCCCATGGTATTGACGAGCCGAATGAGCCAGTGTCGCACTTCACCTGTTGACGGATCGATCGGCCAGTGTGTGTGTAGAAAGAAAGATGTATTTGAGATTTATGAGATAAAATGTTCAGTGTTCATTCACAAAGTACATAAAGAGTCACAATATGAACAAGGATCAGGGGACACGTCATCAATAGCGAGTGTGACCACCCTGGGCATCCATACATGCCGACACACGTCTCCTCATTGACGTCATCAGTGGGCGGATGACGTCAGCAGGAATCCTGTTCCATAAGTCCAAGAGAGGCTGTTCAAGTTCCTGTCGGGGCGGTGGGAAGCCTAGTGGGTAAAGCGTTCGATCGTCACGCCGAAGACCCTGGTTCGATTCCCAACATGGAAACAATATGTGAAGGCCCATTTCGGGTGTTCCCCGCCGTGATATTGCTGGAATATTGCTATTTAAAAAGCGACGTAAAGCCAACTCACACACTCACACACTCAAGGTCCTGTCGGCTAGAGGTGGTATACGCTGTCTCAACTGACGATCAAGATAATCCCTGAGATGTTCAATGGGGCTCATGTCTGGCCAAGGCGTTGACGTTAACGTTGTGCAGGTATTCTCGAACAATTCTGGAGTGTGAAGCCTTGCGTTGTTGTGCTGCAAAATGTCTCCTCTTGGCTGTTGTCGAATAAAGGGCACAACAAAAGGTCCCAAAACTTCATCCCTGTATCGCTGGGCATTTAGATTTCCTCTGATGATAACCAGTTTTTTTGTTCGCCTCCATGGAACGGATGAACTGCTTGACAGCACTTGGCCACCAGTCGCTCTCTTCTACGTCGAAAAACTCGAATTCTGAACCGACTGAACCGACTTTCATCTCTCCCAGTCACGTGCTCGTTGATGCCAAGTGCAGTCTGCGATGACGTTGTAGACGGGTCAAGGCCATTCCACGGAAGGGGCGGCAGGCTCATATACCAGTCATACCAAGACCTGATTGTCTGCTGCTTTGTGTCCTAGTGCCGTCGCCGCTGTTGACGTCGCCGTCACGAAGGTGGATCTACATGCTTGCTCTGTCCGACATCGGTATTTATGACACAATCATGCATTATATTCTGTGTATAAATTGAGTTTGTAAGACTGAATTCGGTTTATGGCCGATTCTACAACTACTGAAAGGGGTGTTCGCTCAATCAGTCCCGTGGCGGAGTTGGTTCCGCACGGTATCACACAATTCGGCACTGAGGTTTTCGGGTCGGGTCTACATCACTTATATATTAAAAACATAACACCTCATAGAGAGGATACTTCTCTATTCCGACCATTAAGTTGTACATGTGCGAACAAAACACGCAATACCTTTGAAACTGGATATTCCTAGCCTTATTTTCTGTATTAGTTGGGCATATTATGGTGGCTGATTCGGGCCATATATCGTGTCGCCATATGGCAATATCGTGTCGTACTATCGCTTTGTCGCGATATCGCCTAGATTTATTCAGTCAGTGGGATAATTCTATGATAGAATAGTATCAAGCTTGGTTTCCAACATAAGTTGAAGATTATCTTACGATATTCCATGATTGTCATATAGCTGTGAATAAACAAAGATTTAAACCAGAAACGGTAGCATTTTTTGTATATAAGATTAGTTCCGATAATCCCTTTTCGGATCCATCAAGTGTGAAGTTGGTATCATTTGCTTAATGAAAAATGAGATGTTCCATACTCTCTATTTTGATCCCCTTTAAATTCAGCTTGAAAGTTGTCAGTTACAACTGGTGTCCGAATTAAGTCAGCTTAACGTCATAGTTTAGTGATTATACAGTTTCGCGCGATCGGTCCCAACCTATATATTTAGTAGCCAATGAGACCAGATTCACCATCTGTGTACTAAATCGCAGTCAGATCGGGCCTTGAAGGTGCCAGGTCTATTGTCCACCTCGATGTACCGCCTCTGTCTTGGTGATGGCCTGGCACTAGCTCAGAGCTGCAGAGCAGACGACTCTTTGGTGTTGCCTGGAGCACAACCATCCTTCTGAGCACACGTCTAGTGGATAGAACTTGTTCTCTTTGTCTTGATACCAAATCTACTACCTAAATATCAAACAAATACAACCTGGATGTGTGCCAAAGTGGACGACAAATGCACACCATATACATGGGTCCAGTCAGAGACCATATATCGGTATATGGTCTCTGGTCCAGTTAACATAATTCACTCAACTTGATGTTATAACTAATCAAAATAATTGAATGTTTATTAGTGGCCTATCTTGAATCTGTAGGTGAACACTTGCCAACCAGTTAATCAGTGAGGTGTGGTCACTGAACCTCCAGCTGGCCGGACCATAGGAGAAGAAGACTGTTTATGAAAGTGTCACAAGTTGTACATCATAAAAAGCATCATTGGCATAAAATAGAGTACAACAACCGGCCAATACGGCCTATGAGACACTATATTGCATTTAAAAACAAAAGTTAAAATTAGACAATAAATTACTAACAGCTATAGTTGGTGTAACAGTGTAGTATTAAAGTCATGTCATGTTACTAGGGTTGCTAAGTTGGTCCCCGGCGTTAGAAGGAGAACAACAAGGTGAAGGAAGTACAAAGTGAAGAGGTAGGTTAACTTTTGTAAACATGCGTAGGAGTAAGGCGGCTGCTTGTTTAATAAACTGGCTATCTTGCATGAGATTGACCTGGGATGAACAGTATTTGCACAATCAATCAAGCATAATTGTTAATCCCCCTAAGCTGCTGGGTAAACGAGAATATCCCACGGATTTATACACATCTGGAGTCGATCAAAACTGATTTCATTTGAATCCACCACCTGTTATAAGGTTAAACCCAATATTGAGAATTGGGCTTTGTTCGATGGCTCTCGAAATCGAACCAGACCTTATTCTTCTCACTCGTATAAAATCTATTATATTAATTTGCAATGGTCCATTGAGAAGCGTCCAGCTTGTCAGATTTGAATATCATAATTCCTTGCCACTGTGCGCTGAACTGGATATATTCGACATTAACATGAGAATTCATAGTCATCAGGAAAAGACTACAACTTCAAAATTATACCCACCTAATCGTTTACTCTTGTCGGAACTTTTCAATTCGTCCACATTAAGGGGCGGTGGGGTAGCCTAGTGGTTAAAGCGTTCGCTCGTCACGCCGAAGGCCCGGGTTCGATTCCCCACATGGGTACAATTTGTGAAGCCCATTTCTGGTGTCCCCCGCCGTGATGTTGCCGGAATATTGCTTAAAAACGGCGTAAAACCATACTCAGTCAGTCAGTCAGTCGTCCACATTAAACGGTACAGTATATTTCTGGAACGTTTTATTGGACAATAATTGTGTTTCAATTCAAAAATGTTTATCAGGAAAAATGGGAATAAAGGACTTAGATTGAAAAAAATAGATTTTCTTCCAACTGTGACAGGTGATTTATGGTCCTCCAACATTATTGAGCAGTTTTCCCATTACCTCTAACATAATCCATATCTAAGGTTGCATCCTGCCAATCACATTATAGCTCAACCTCTCAGTCTTTCCCCATCTGTCACGGATGGGCAAATGCTACACTTGTTTTTCACCTGTTTTGCATAATTACCCACTATATTGCAAAGTGGGCTCAAGTTCAACAACATATTAACGACCAGTCATTTATCAGCGTTATACACACTTGCCATTTGGACACGTTGAGCATTTGAGACTACATAATGGTTTAGGATTTGATAGCTGGTATAGTCTGTTTGCAGTGAAAACGTACCGATGAATGTCACTTTAAACCCAAAAGTAAAACAAATAAGGTGAAATTAAGACTGCGAATCCTAATGGGTTTACCTTGCAAATTGAACATTAAACGGAGAATACGAGTGAATTGCAATAATTTACTGGGTGAAAGATAAGTCATCAGAAACATATTCTCAAATTTTCAATTAAAAATTATGTATAATTATGTTTTAATCGCGAAAACAGTTTCTGTAAATCTGAGCTTCGGCCATCAAGCATATTTCACTGGAACCCATGTGACCTTTCCGCTCGTTACGTCAAATGTGCCTGGAGTCCGCCATATTACAAAGGACCAAGCGCTACAGTAGTACAAATCGTGTTGTTTTTGTCGTTTTTTAAAATGGTACGATGGTGTATTGTGTTGCCTGGGGATGCACGGCATCATCGAACATGGGAAAGAACCACCATTTCTTCCGTTTTCCAAGTGAAATGACAGATTTCGGCAATAGAAATGCGCCGATCATTCCTAGTCTGACGCATATGAAGAGACATGCACGCATGGGGTATGGAAATCCCCAAGCTAGGCTGAAGAAGGAAAAAGTACCCACGCGATTCATTTATACTCCATATTCCCTGTAACAACTTACTGTCGGTGGTATTTTTAAAATAAATTAAATCAAGTCCGATTGCCAGTCGAATTGTCCCCGCTACAAAATGACCCAGCAAAGTTGGTCAAATTGCCCCAGTGGGGTAGTCAAAATGCACCCAATTTATTTAAAATGAATAAATACAGGCCATAAATGCATAGTTTTGTCAACTTTGATATTATGTTCTTTATATATAATTTTATATACTATGCACATAAAGAAACTGTGCATGCAAAAATTTAAAATCTAAATTTATCAAACCTGTGTAGACACATAAGGATTTAAACTCAGAGATTAGTGACATGTATCCAACATGCATGCACGTGCCACGTTCCATGACGTCAGTGGGTTCGTCCTTGAGACGTGCAATACATTGTTGCACGTGCATTCCGGGAAAGAGAAACAGAGCAAATGAATGCCACACAATACTGTCACTTTGGAAAGCTCAACCCCTGCCCTTGCGATCGTTCAAAAAATTAAACGGCCATTGAAACGCATAGCATGCTAAGGCTCACGTCTGCACAACGTCATGAGGCCATTGGGATGGTCCGTGGGGAGATGTCTCAGCGACAAGTGACTGCACATTTCCACTGCCACCGGAACACCATTTCTGCACTGGTGAGACGCTACCAGAACACAAATGACGTCATCGATCGGCCACGTGTAACAACGCCAAGACAGGACAGATGGCTAAGGGTGACCCATCTTCGCCACAGGTTTCAGACTGCAGTGATGACTGCCCGAACCATCCCGGGATCGGACCTTGACGTCCCGCCATACGGCCTATCCTGACACAACGTCAACGACAAGCTCGCCGAATGTGGTGCCGAAATCATGTTGCTTTGGTGGAGAATTGTTGTTTTTACAGATGAGTCCAGGTTTAACATTTCCCATAGTAATGGACGTCAACGTGCCTCGTCTGAAGCATAATTATTTTGTTTTTAAATCCCAGACACCATACAGTCACCCATTTGACACAATATGAACTGTTATCACATTAAAAAATTTTCTTAGTGACTGGTCATATATTTATAGGGGTGAGTTTGCTGTCTGGAACTGTATGACATTTTGCTGACAAATAGTAATCTTGTTGAATGATATTGTCGATTTTTAAATTTATTTTGACCTCAAGCGGTACCTCAGTTTCGCTTGATTCTTCTTCTTCATCTTCAGTGGAAGATTGTTTTGCAAGATGTCAACTCGGATCGTATTGATACTGTCTAACATCCATTTCAGAAATGACATCAGGAACATCTTTTACTGCTTCAGAATCCACGGACACTGTTAAGTTGTGAGGTAAAATCAAAGAGGAAGCCATCAGCAACAGACACTTATGACGTCATGTCACGTGATACCCCTCTGCTCGTTAACTGTCGGGTGTTTCCGTTATAGGCGGAAATACGAATACGTTTTTGTGTTTTTATTGCTATTTTACAAACTTTTGGTTCAATTTTAATCACGGAATGTGACTTTTAGAATGTCCTTTACAATACATCAAAAGTTTTGTTTTCGTTCGTATCCTCTTTTAAATCTCAGAATTGTATTCGACTTAGGATAAAAGTTGTTTAACAAACTATCGTAGTTTCACATGGCTGTTATTGGTTTTTATTACAAGGGGGTATGCACATCAAATGAAACACCGAAAACGACAAGGGTTGTTATAAGTTAACGCTCTTCACGTACCGCACGTTTCATTTGTTTCACTGTTCCAACGACTGCGCTTACCCCCTTGTAATACAAACCAGTAATAGCGATTTGAATCTATGGTCGTTTGTTAAACAACTTTTATCCTCATTTGAATAAAATTTTGAGATTTAAATGTTCAACTGGCAAGGTAAAATCATGAGTATTCGCAATCTTAATTTCAATTTATTTGTTCTAAAGTTATATTTATATATACTATTCCAAAACAGAAACGCATAACCCAGAAATATGTTGCGGAAATGTTGTATTTTCAAACATGTATAAGTCGTCCAAAAAAACAAAAAGACTTTAAGATATGAACTTTTACATCAGTTTAGAAGAAGGTAATGTCTATACAATCAGATGAATAATGTTACATAACGGAGACGTTGAGCGCGATGGTGACCACGTAGAATGGCCCCGACGTCGGGTCTCCTGGCTCTCAGTCCAATCTCTCTCAGTCTGTTCCGTACAGTTTGACCTGATATCCTCCGAAATCCAGGCACCCTGGCTGCTGTGCTCTCACACGTGGCAGTACGATCACGCAAATGTAGTACCCGGATGTACCGATCATGGGCTGCAGTGGTGACTCGAGGTCTGCCTGTACGGGGACGGTCATTTGTTATACCTGTTTGGTTGAAACGAGCTGCAAGCTGTGATATCGTGCTCAGACTAAAATTCAGACGCCTGGCAACAGTAAATTGGTAATCTCCAGGTGCATTATTTCAATGGCGATGTTCCGTGTGGCAGCGTCAAGATTTGGCGTAATGATTTGACCTTGAAACTCCTTCAAAACGAATGCCGATATTCGAAAGTAATATGGATTTTTATAGCCAGAGAGTGCATGCTCGTTGCTGCACAATTTCAACTGGAAGGTGATTTCTGTGCGTTGTGGCTATGCCTTTTTAATTTTTGTAAGAAATCTCATCAAAATCAACATTTTCAGATAAAATCGACTTTTCACTTATGCAATTGTGTACAATCATGTTATGAACACTTTTGTTACATATTTTGACGATTGTTAACACAACTGGTAATTAATAGATTTACAAAAATGCAAAACGCCTATGCGGTATTTGTCCCTGTTTTAACATTAAATACCATCGTGTTTTTACTTCGCTTGTATCTACAGAGTCACCAGAGGAATGTTCAGTCCTATATTACTAACACATTCTGACGGGTTAGCTAGTATACTATAGTTACTTATGTTACACTACTTCTGCATGTGGGGCGGTGGGGGAGCCTAGTGGTTAAAGCGTTCGCTCATCAGGCCGAAGACTCGGGTTCGGTCCCCCCACATAGGTACAATGTGTTAAGCCCATTTCTGGTGTCTCCCACCGTGATATTGCTGGAATATTGCTAAAAGCGGCATAAAACTTAAACTCACTCACTAAACACGCAGCACTGTTTTTTTCGTTCTTTCAGTTCGGAATACTTACATTGTCCTCATTAGTGAATCTCAATTGGCTGAATCTTCTAATTATTACAGGGGCGGTGGGGTAGCCTAGTGGTTAAAGCGTTGGCTCGTCACGCCGAAGACCCGTGTTCGAATCCCCACATGGGCACAATGTGTGAAGCCCATTTCTGGTGTACCCCGCCGTGATGTTGCTGGAATATTGCTAAAAGCAGCGTAAAAACCAAACTCAGTCAGTCAGTCAGTCAGTCTAATTATTACATAACGTTAGGACTTTCATCTTTCATGAAAACATATATTTGTACAAACCAGGGGGATATTTAATATAATAAATAGTACAATAGTAAATAGAGTGCAACCATTTCAACCAAGCCACGACTCATCGAGCAATGAACATATATGCCAAAGAACTATTTTGCCATATCCTTTCATATATTTTATATAGACGCACGTGGCGCAAGAATTATTTTGCATAAATGGTTGGTTGGTTTGTTGTGTAACACTCAGCAGTATTCCAGCTATATGGCGGCGGTTTGTAAATAATCGAGTCTGGATCAGACTATCCAGTGATCAACAGCATGAACATCAACCTACGCATTGTGATATAATGACATGTGTCAATCAAGTCAGCGAGCCTAACCACCCGATACCGTTAGACGCCCCTTACAACAAGCATGGGTTACGAATAACGAATAACCCGGATCTTCACGGGTCCGTTTAAATACAGTGAATGTTACGTGTATTTCTATTTTTCTAGATGATGAGTTGGGAGTAATCTCCCTTGATTGTACTTTAGAAGGTCGTCGATTAAACATCGCGTCATTGGAAGTCAACGCGTCTTGTTATTGGCCTAAAACCTCAAACCAGAGCACGAAACATGAATACAAACATACAGCGGTTCCAAAAATCACACACAAAAGTATGTTTATGATGCGGAACAGTGACTATCACTAACCAATTTAAGGAACTGGAAGGTGCTCTCACTCTTTGAAGTTAAAGATCTGTCTTCAGAATAAATGAAATGATGAGTTTTCGAAAAAGTTATTTGAACTTACAATTTCGACTCTTACAAAATCAGGAAAAAATATGATTTAAAGGTATCAAATAACACAACTTGATATTATTTAAATATGTTTAATCATGTTAGCATCGTTTTACCTCCTTTTTTCCATACGTTTGGTCCCTCGAGATCTGAGTGGTACCAATATGTCGACTTTCAGCTCCTGGCCTAAAAGACCAAGTTTCAAAAATGTATCAGTGGATACAAACGCACCGTGACCTCGAAACGTGTGTTTTTTATACTAATTAGTGTGTTGTTGTTGTTGGTGGTGGTTGTTGTTTTACGCCGCACTCAGCAATATTTCCAGCTATATGACGGCGGTCTGTAAATAATCGATTATGGCCAGAGAAGCCAGTGATCGACAGCATGAGCATCGATCTATGCAATTGGGATACGATGGCATGATCACTTGATCCAGTTAGTCGTATATCTTACGAAGACCAATTCTAACCCAGATCTTCACGGTTAATTTATGAAGTAATCCATGGACAGACATTGCATAGTTGCAGTTTGAGACATTTTACTTAGGTTTCGTTCTACAATTTACAATAACGCAATAACATAACAGCAACTTACTTGTCACTGGCAACAGAGACCATATAATATATATTATATGGTCTCTGCTGGCAACCATTCAGGGGTACATTTTGAATCATAATTTTGGCACTTTCTATCTATAAAACATGAACTGTTAAATATCTCATTAACTTATAACTTATCTTAAAACGAAGCCATCCGCCAAGTATTTACAATGTATGCGTGACGCAGCGCACATCATTATATGGCGAATCAAGGTGTCCCTACAAACACTTAATCACACTATATAACGTGAGGAGTAAATTAAGTGGGTAGAAAGTTTTTGAAAACGATGGCGAACATGAAATTCATAGAAGTAAATATTATCACATTATATCAGTTATAAGCCCTGATAGAAATGAACAAATATTAACACAGTATATAATTGGTTATCTATTTTGATGTGAGCTTTTAAGCCATCTGTTCTACAGGAAGCAAACAGAAATTAAACTACACGAACAAGGGAGGTAATCCATGCTAAATATATGCACCGGAAGATGTCGCTTTCTTAGACAAATGTCAGGAAAAATGACCCGGCAGAAATATTAGTTGCATTACAAGACAGGATGTGCCTGTGTGTTTAATATAGTATTACAAATACAGAAAATGAAAGTAAGTTGAATATACACATTTGAATTTACCAAAAGAGGAATTTTGAACGATTGCAGTCATCAAATGTGACTAACGACAGTGTGGCTGTCACCTAATTTCGTGCTATGTAAACAATGCAAAAATTGACAAGATTATTAGTGTTGCAAGTGTTGATTGGTTATGTTTTACACGAAAACTTCTATTAACCGTAAACATTAACCTGTAAATATGAATACCAATATTGTCAGATATGTATTCTTGGTGGCAACTTGGTCGTTAGTAAATGGCAGGAGGGATACCTGGCTGATTCACATTGCCAACAATGCTGGCAGGGGCAGTTGGTAGTAACTAGTATCCTTGTATTTTGATTTCAGATGTAGTTGTTCAGCCAAGTGAACAGAATATATGTGAGTGAGAAGGGGGACAGGTCAGATAGGATGACGACAAGCATGCACCGGGCAGCTCAGTACGCAGAGGTAAGTGTGATTATATCCTTTCTAAACAGTGTTTTGGTGCAAAGTGTCTATGGGCCATTCCTCAGTTTGGAACTGTGCAATCTACACCACGGGTGATTGGATTGTTCCAATGGGAAGTTCATACCTTGAATAATTTGATGGACTCAAACTGAAATGTTGGATAATCTGTACCACAGATACCAACTGGATTACTGGTAGAATCTACAAAACTGTGTTTGTACATTATGAAAAATTGGATTGGTGTTTAGTCTAAGAGATAATCATCAATTATCCCTATCAACATTGGGGCTCGATTTAATAATTTAGAGCTTAAACTGGTGCATCCTGAATCGGCAAAATGCAACCTCATATTTATGCGAATCTGCACTAAGTGTATGTTATATTTTGCTGTTCAAAGAACACATACTTTAGCTGGAAAACAGATTGATGAGAAAGTGGCACTGAGCAGTGATTGAAGGATTGTTACTGTTCATGTCATGTAATTTTATGAATTAAGTTAAGATGATCTTATCAGGCTCAGAATAATTTTATGTTAATGATGTGCTTAATCATTAATACCAAACTCTTAAGTATTATCAGTAGAGGACGTAACATGTATCTGAGATCGTCCCCCCCGTTATGCATACAATGACTACCTGAGCAGGGTCACTCATTTGTGTGACTGCCTGATCACAGACAGGGAAATTCTGCATGTCACACAAAAACGCATCTAAAAGTGTTATTTATGAAAATAATTAAATAAAATTTGCTACAGTCATTTATAGTCGTTCAAGTTATTGAATGACACAATGAAAACGTGAAAAGAAAATTAAATAGTCATATTTTGACAAAAATGTGAAAAATTTAAGCAAATTTGACGATATTTAACAGTGAATTTCACCTATGTGCATACTTACGTGTAGTATTTTCTGAAAGCTCATTCATTGTAGATTCAAAATATATATGCAGCTTTCGAGGCACACAAATGCACACCTGTTTGTTATTGTGTTGAAACATGTTTATTTTCTTTGACAATGAAATTGCACAGGAGGAGTGACTGGGGAAGCGAGTCATTAATGGGAGGGAACTGATGACTGACAAAATTGTTCAGTCAAAACATCCGTCTTGTGACCTAGACTGCCTGAAGCGTACGTAATATAGGGATATTTTCCCATGTTTCAAAACATTTTTTCTTTACAACAAAGAGGATATAATAGATTACTACAAAATTATGAATAACAATTTTTTTATTGGGACTATATCTTTTGATGGAATCATTGGAAAAACGACTAAAAGAGAGGGTCACTTCTACCAATGTGAAAACAATGCCTCTGCACAGTTTTCAGTTTGTTGTCATATTTGTCGTTTTTTGACGACAATTTTCACCTATTTGCAAATTTCACAGAAACATGATTTTAATATTTTCTGAAAGCACATTCAATGGAGATTTACCTTGTGTAAGTACTTTTTCATGTAGCCATTGCATTGAAACAGATCTACTTTCCTCCCACTGCTCATCACAGACAAACTAACGTCCTCACAGCCCTGTTATGTGTACCAGAGACACATTTCAGAAGCAAGTGCATGAGCAAAAGTAGTCAGTATTATTATTCTATATTGAGCAGCAGTTGCAACCTGCTTTTGTCATGTGCAACAAATTTACGCCCTAAGGTTGCACAATGTGTAAGTAGGTTTCATTTCCATACATTGAGCCATAAGCTTCGTGAGTCAAAAGCGAGTCAAATGTTTTTAAGTACAGTAAATTATGTTTTAACAATCTCAAAGAGATCACTTATTTGAGTTCATTATATCCATTTCACCTTAAATATACCACAAATGACATTATACTATCTAGATTTTGTTATAGTGAGTGAGTGAGTTTAGTTTTACGTCGCTGTTAGCAAATATTCCAGCAATATCACGGCGGGGAACACCAGAAAAGGGCTTAACACATTGCACGCACGTGGGGAATCGAACCCGGGTCTTCGGCGTGACGAGCGAACGCTTTAACCACTAGGCTACCCCAGCGCCCCAGATTTTGTTATAAGCATGTTTGTTATAAACATATTTTACTGCACATGATGAATTATTGCACAGGGTCAGGGGTGGAAATAACTTTAAAATTGATAGTGCACTCCGGTACAGTGGCACATGTAAAGTCACTTGCCCTGATAATTTTCCCACTATACCGACTGTTTTCTTGTTGATTTTTTAAATAAACAACATAATTAACATTGGAAAGTCAACTGGACACCGGTACAGTGTGATATACAAATTTGCTTGCCCGACAGAAAAAAACACTGGACTCTGACGTCGGGCAATGCGTTATTTCCACCCCCTGAGGGTTTATTGAATCAAAAGTGCTCAAAATGGTTAAATGTGTGAAATTAGTGCTGTGTATAAATTTCAAATGAAAGTATGCACAATGGTGTGTTAAGTTAGAAATGCCCAATATGCTGGAATATATAGTGGATACTGTGAGTAAATGATTATGTCAGTTTATCCGTCTGTACTGGTAAACACAAACATCGGAAATATTGACTTGTCACAAATGAAAATAAATGGCTTCAGTCTTCAAAATTTGTGTACATGTAATCCACATTTGTGTATGAATAGGACAAAAGGGTATAAATGCTCTAAATCCATGCAAAAAAGTATTGGGCTCAGCAGTGGACCAGTGTTTGTATCTAATACTGCAAATGTTGCTGTAGACTGTCATAGTTCGTCTAGACACACAACAAGGTAATGGTGTTGGTTAGCATTTCTGCATCTTGTTCACTCGGACGGTTGGTTGGTTGCTTAATGCTGCATTCTGCAATATTCAAGCTATGTGGCGGTGGTCTGTAAATAATCAAGTCTGGACTTGACGATTGTAGTGTGTCACCTTCACATATCACCATACAACATCTTCTTGTTTCACACACTTTAATTGCCCCAAGAGAAACATTAGAGGTACATCACTAGGTTGGAAGATGGCCGCCGAGTGACGTCACATAGCACTCGCTTATATTTATACTCTACCCTAAAGTAATCTCTAAGCCCATGCACATGAATAACATGAATATCCTCACTCCAAAGTTCAACCAATCAATACATTACAACAATCCAGTGATCAACAGCATGACCATCGATCTCCGCATTTGGAACTGATGACATGTGTCAACCAAGTCAGCGAGCCTGACCACCCAATCCTGTTAGTCGCCTCTCACAACAAGCATGGGTTACTGAAGATCAATTGTAACCCGGATCTTCACGGGTGTGAACAGAAAAACTGTGATTTTCCCAATATGTGATATAAGATGGAATTCAGAATTAAACAGCCTAGATGATCAGAAACATTCTATGCTTATTTATTATTCCTATGGCATTCCTTGACTTTCATCACAAATGTAGCTTCATATCAAATTTGCTTCATTTCATGAATATAGTCCTGTGAACAGTGAATGTCAGATAGTTTTTAATGAGAACTTTAACTGATACACATCATCTGAAATGAACACCACATGAAGGTAGCGTTTATTAGTGTATATAACACACAATTGTTAAACTAAGTTGTAATATATATCTGCAATATTAAAACAATTTGTCTTTCAGTACTTGCTGCAGTGCAGCAGACAGCATCCTGCTAGCCTTCAGTCATCACCACCATCCACCAGCAGCAAAGGGTATGTTAATGAAGGTCCATTGGGTGTACAGATCGTAAATCAGCTAAAAGAACTCAGTATCGCTTGTTTGTCACACTATCTGTATTACCAGGAATTCCTGGTAAAAATCGTTCCATTTATCCCCTGTTTGTCTCAATATCAGGAATCCGGGTAAAAATGTTTCCAAGTGTCCCTTGTTTATCTCATAATCAGGCTTCCTGGTAAAAATAGCTCTCCTGTATGCCTTGTTTATCTCCAAGGAATCGTGGTAAGTATTGTTCTCCTGTATTCCTTTTTTATCTCCCAGGAATCCTGGTAAACTGTACTATTCTCTTTTATCCCTTGTTTATCTCCCAGGAATCCTGGTAAACTACTAGTTCTCTTTTGTCCCTTGTTTATCTCCCAGGAATCCTGGTAAAATACTTCTCTTTTATCCCTTGTTTATCTCCCAGGAATCCTGGTAAAATACTGATCTTTTATACCTTGTTTATCTCCCAGGAATCCTGGTAAACTGTACTAGTTCTCTTTTATCCCTTGTTTATCTCCCAGGAATCCTGGTAAACTGTACTAGTTCTCTTTTATCCCTTGTTTATCTCCCAGGAATCCTGGTAAAATACTTCTCTTTTATCCTTTGTTTATGTCCCAGGAATCCTGGTAAAATAGTTCTCCTGCATCCCTTGTTTGTCTACCAGGATCCCTGGTAAAAATAGTATTCCGGTATCCCTTGTTTATCTCCCAGGATCCCTGGTAAAAATAGTATTCCGGTATCCCTTGTTTATCTCCCAGGATCCCTGGTAAAAATAGTTCCCCTGCATCCCTTGTTTATCCCCCAGGATTCCTGATAAAAAATAGTTCTCCTGCATCCCTTGTTTATCTAACAGGAATCCTGGTAAAATTGTTCTCTTTAATTCCTTTTATTTTTCCTTATCCTGACTCATGCTTATTGCTTGTCTTCTTCTTCTTGCGAACATAGTGGAACACGTGTATCTCCCAATTGAAGTTCCCTTCAATTAAAAAATCACTAATTAGCACTCACCACGAGTTACCTCCCTTACACAAGCTCGGGAACGAGGGCGCCACCTCAACCCATGTGCCTCACTCTCTCCTTCTTCGCCCAGTGAGCTGGCCGTGAGAGCACCTGTGTCTCCCGACACACTATATCCTTTATTTATATTTAGTTTAGTACCTCTTATATTCATTTATAGAGGTGTAACTAGTATCCTTATTCAACTTGCATTGATTATTAGTCGTGTTTCTGCTGTTTTATTCATGGTTCGCCATGTTTGTTCAGCAGTTTACGTTAATGAGAATCTGCACAGGTTGTAAACTACGTTATTCAGCTACCGATCCACATTTAAAATGCCCTAGTTGCATTACTCCATGTTCTATTGTTTCTCGTTGTAAATTATGTATTAATTTACCAATTTCTGCCTTTGATAAATATTTATGTTCCGTTTTGAGACGGAAGGCAGATAAATCTCGGAAACAATCTTCAGTCATGGCTAATAGATCGGAGTCAGATATATCCTGGGTTACCTTCGGGGTATAAGCGTGGGACGCAGTCCGCTATATCCTAGAAGCGACCTGCATCCCAGGACGTTCCTTCATCACAGTCTAAGACTAGAAGAGCTTCCACGTCGTCTCAACGTACGCTCCGAACCCCCAGGTCTACAGCTTCGTCAAAAGGGAAATCCACGAAGGCTACTAAAAAACTTTGCTTCTGATATTCAGAATTATGTTTATATGATGATGACATTCCGATTATCATTCCAGATGTACGTCATAAGAAGTGACTAGTATCGGCTACCGTCACTTCAGCGCAGATCAACATGCAACCAGAGATGCCTACGCTGACGCCGGAGATTATAACTGAGGGTCCCGTCACTATCACAGAGAGGACACCCTCAACGCCAGCGCAGACCATCTCAGACGACCTGGTCAACCAAATCATGAGACTGATGGAGGACCGTTACGGTTTACAGAGGCCCCAGAGCCCAACCCATAATAAGTCATACAGGGCCCCAGAGCCCGCCTTGGCTTCGCGTAGGGCCCCAGAGCCCACAAACGCGCCTCCGCGAAGGGCAACCCAGCCCGTAGCGAACACTTCGCTAAGGAAGTCCCAGGCCGCCTCCGCGAAGGAGCTAGAGCCTCACTAGTTGCGAGGGACATCGCGGAGAAGGAGCGCTTCGCCGAGCCCACACCCTGTAGAACACAGAGGTCGTTCACGGAGCAAGCGCTCATATATTGAGGGACATCGCGGAGAAGGAGCGCTTCGCCGAGCCCACACCCTGTAGAACACAGAGGTCGTTTCGCGGCAAGCGCTCATATATTGATCGGACACTAGACACTTCGCTAAGGAAGTCCCAGGCCGCCTCCGCGAAGGAGCTAGAGCCTCACCAGTTGCGAGGGACATCGCGGAGAAGGAGCGCTTCGCCGAGCCCACACCCTGTAGAACACAGAGGTCGTTCACGAAGCAAGCGCTCATATATTGATCGGACTCTGACTCGATACTTTCGCAAAGGTCGCGAAGGCCAAGTGGCTCCAAGTCTACTTCACCCAGAAGATTTAGAAGGGATACTTCGAGATCTTCGCGAAGTCCCTGGCGTTCGCCGAGGAAGTCTCCTCCAAGGTCTCCATGTACTATCCACTCGTCATATATAGCCACTCGTCAGTCCGTTCAAGACATCGCATGAGTTGTCTATCAACTGTATGCCATATGCCGTCTCAAGCCTACGCGAAGACAATTGCACAGGCTATTTACAACACAGAACGTCGCTGTATCATTTTATAAACAGATGAAGAGCCTAATTAAGGATCTTCAAGCCGACTACCTACATCAAGGGCATCAACGACGTTTCGTAGATCTTCACAGGAATCAACTTTTCCGTATAGATTGCTAGGTATGCAATCCCGGACTACGATACGATTATCTACATGCGTGACCATTACGCAGATCTGCAGACAATTCAATAACGAAATTGAACAGCAGCCTTGTTACAGCGAGTAAAACTCATAATCGTCAACGATTTCCTGAGAAGAAATATGTACAACAAGTTCAGCTTTAACAGTCTACAAGCTGACAACTTGCAAGTTTTATTGAACCTTATATAAGGAAGTCGGAATTATCTTCAAGACTGAAGTTACTTTCACGACAGCCTGGAAAATAACCTACCCAGCATTAATATTACAGAGCGAGGTATTTCGCGCCGGAGGTTTCGCGCGTTTACCATTAACCCTCGAAACACGTGGTCACTCGGGTAACTTCGGGAACCTACGGGGAAGACCGACGATTGTTCTAATATCAACGTCGGCACTATATTATACAAGGTTCCTTTTCCTGCTACACCGGTGACATCACAGCGCGGGTACTCTACAGAATCAAAATGCCTTGTTCTGATTGGACCGAGATGGACAACGCCCTACGCAGAGGTCGATCATAGTTCACAGTTCAAGACATAGGTTGCAAGTGACAACAATATATCAGTGAACGAGCAAGCCTCCTTACAGTCCAGCTAATCTGAACCTTCATGATTGGGCTGCCTTCTTGAGGTTAGAGACCTCCCCTGTCAAGTAAGGACGAGGGCACGGCAGTCAGGCGGTTTTTTACATAAAGTTCAACGATGGCAGTCACCCTTGGTTGTGCACCTACTTAAGTTGGACCTAGAACCTTCGCAAGATCTGCTAATTCTAGGTTTTGATTTGTAAAAGCGCAGAATCGTATAATTGTACCGGAGGACAATGGATCAAGATCCAACAGTCATTTCCACAAGCCTTACTATCTCCGCTACCACTACGACAGTGGCAGAGCCTGTTGGGGTTACGCACTTCAGCTCAAGACATGACAGGCAGAGGCAGACTACAATTACATCCGTTACAAGTCATCATCAATTCGCATCTAGACGAATCTCTACCGTTCAATTTACCGGTTCAGGTCAAACCTCATCTACTATGGTGGACCAAGAGATCGAATGTTTGAATAGGCGTCTCGTTAATAGAGCTGGAATCGATAACACTTCTCTACGTAGATGTGTCACTACAAGGTTGGGGAGCCCATCTTGCCAACAGGACGGCATCAGGGCTATGAGCAATCAAGAGAGCAAATTACACATAAATCTGCTAGAGATGCAAGCAGTAATAAACGCCTTAATGCACTGGAGCAACTTACTACAGTATACCCAGTGGATGATTCACACAGTCAATTCGACAGTGGCGTTTTATGTGAACAAACTAAGCTCAACCAGGTCCCCGAACCTATCGACTCTATGTTTTCAATTGTTCGATTTAATCGACAATCTCAACATACATGTCAGAGCATATCACATTCCAGGAGCAAAGAATGTGATAGCAGACGCTCTCTCTCGGCCACACATACCATCGCCGACAGAATGAATGCTCCATACAGGGATATTCACTCAAATTATCAAAGAAATAGGAACTACACTAATAGACTTATTTGCCACTCGATTCAACAAACAACTGACAACATTCGTATCGCCAGTTCCAGACCCACTAGCATTGGCAACAGACGCACTAAGCATATCGTGGGAAGGACTCAACGCGTACGCTTTTCCGCCACCAGCGTTAATCTCACAAGTTTACTCAAAATCAGTCAAACGCAGAGCCTCCATCTGAATTTGGTCGCGGCCTACTGACCAGCGAGAACGTGGTTTCCCCAACTCTTATTCAAGAAATCGGACAACCAATACTACATCTTACAGAGTGCTCGAATCTGTTAATACATCCGCACACCAAACAAGCACATGGAAAGCCAGAAATATTCCAACTTCACGTATGGATTGTATCAAGGCGTGTCTGAATACAAGTTATTCAGCCAGAGCGGCAAAGCAGTCTAGCTTGCCCTGCGTAACTCAACTTGCAACTTATCGATGACAAATGGCACAGTTTTGTCAATTATGCTGCAAAGGAAGGATTTACAGCTAGATATGCTACTCATCCTCAAGTGGCTGACTACTTATGTTATCTACGTCAGACTAAGATTTTAAAAGGCTCAACTTGTCCACCTTTCTTGCAGCAATAGCTCTGTCATAACTGAGAACGGGCGTCAAGTTAACCTAACCCCAGTTACTCGCCTTGCTACGAGCTTTCCGATTGGAGGATTAAAACGGAAGTTCCACGCTCCAACTTGGGATCTGAATATAGTGCTCCAACACCTCACAAGTGAGGTTTATGAACACGCTTTGATGATATATTTGGACCCCATGATACGATGAATCTATCACGATGGCCAGTAAGAGCACTGAAAATATATCTCCACCGAGCCAAACAGGAGGGAAAAATTCAAGAGATTTAATTCCTCTATCAACAAGCTACGCAGACTGAAGTCTCACGTACTACTATCTCCTTTTGGATCAGAACTGTCATACTACGTGCCTACAAGACTGCAGGACTCGACCCTCCAAGAGCTTCTAATCCTCATGATATTAGAGCACTAACATCTACACTTACTCTACACGACAAGTGCTATTGATATACCATAATGGAGGGTTAATTCTGGAGATCCGATATGGTGTTTGCCAACCACTATCTGAGGGATATCACCACCGAGGACGTCTCAGGTATCCACCAATTCGGTCCCATGGTCCTCGCACAACAGTTGACAGTTCCTCGGAGAAGATAAGTCAATCTTACAGATTTCTACTTATCTTATAACAGTACTAAATAGCTACATGCTATATATATTTTGCTTAAGTTCTTTTATTATCTTAAGCTCAGTACTATGGTTATTATATCATACAATATATAAGCTAACAACTCTACGGAGTTTGTTATTATAAATTTAGCTTAAGTTAATCATATCTTAAGCTCAGTACTATGGTTACATTATAAATGTATTAGCTAACAAACTCTACAGAGTTTTTGCTATTATATATGTAGCTTAAGTTAATTATATCTTAAGCACAGTACTATACTCATATCATAAAAATATATTAGCTAACAAACTCTACGGAGTTTTTGCTATTATATATGTAGCTTAAGTTTATTCATATCTTAAGCTCAGTACTATGTTTATATCATATAAGTATATTAGCTAACAAACTCTAAAGAGTTTTTGGCTATTATATAGTTAGCTTAAGTTTCATCATATCTTAAGCATTATGGTTACATTATAACATGTATTAGCTAACAAACTCTACGGAGTTTTTGCTATTATATATGTAGCTTAAGTTTATTCATATCTTAAGCTCAGTACTATGTTTATATCATATAAGTATATTAGCTAACAAACTCTAAAGAGTTTTTTGCTATTGTATATTTAGCTTAAGTTTCATCATATCTTAAGCATTATGGTTACCGGGGTACATTATAAAATGTAATAGCTAACAAACTCTACGGAGTTTTTTTTTGGCTATTTAGGTAGCTTAAGTTAATTATATCTTAAGCACAGTACTATACTCATATCATAAAATATATTAGCTAACAAACTCTACGAAGTTTTGCTATTATATATACAGCTTAAGTTTTATTCATATCTTAAGCTTAGTACTATGTTTACTTCATAAAAGTATATTAGCTAATAAACTCTAAGGAGTTTTTGCTATTATATATTTAGCTTAAGTTTAATCATATCTTAAGCTCAGTACTATGTTTATATCATAAAAGTATTTTAGCTAACAAACTCTAAGGAGTTTATGCTATCATATTAACAAGCTTAAGTCTATTAGTCTTAAGCATTGTATTAATGTTATATATACTTTTATCATAATAAGTAAATTGTAATAACCTTTATATGGCAGCTGATAAGTTAGCAGCAGGAATTCATCAGTTCAGTGCCTTTATGAAGTTCCCATAGGGTTATTACAATCATCACAGTTCAAATCACTAATTATTAAAATCCAAAGTATTATATATTCCCACCTCCTTTTCCGTCGGATTCTACAAGCAATAAGCATGAGTCAGGATAAGGAAAAATATGTAATTTTTAGAGTAAAATTGATATTTTATACTTATCCTGACTCATGAGGTAAGCCCTCCCATCCTCCCCACATAACACTTTGGATTTCCCTGGAAATTCAAGTGTTGGGCTCAGTATATGAGGAGAGAGTGAGGCACATGGGTTGAGGTGGCGTCCTCGTTCCCGCAGCTTGTGTAAGGGAGGTAACTCGTGGTGAGTGCTAATTAGTGATTTTTTAATTGAAGGGAACTTCAATTGGGAGATACACGTGTTCCACTAGGTTCGCAAGAAGAAGAAGACAAGCAATAAGCATGAGTCAGGATAAGTATAAAATATCAATTTTACTCTAAAAATTACATTTATCTTCCAGGAATACTGGTGAAAACAGTTCTCCTGTATCCTCTGTTTATGTCCATGGAACCCTGGCAAAAATAGTTCTCTTTTATCACTTGTTTATCTCTCAGGAATCCTGGTGAAAATAGCTCTCTTTTACACTTGTTTATCTCCCAAGAATCCTGGTAAAACTAGTTCTCCTTTGTCCCTTGTTTATCTTCCAGGAATCCTGGTAAAATAATTCTTCTGTATCCCTTGTTCATCTCTCAGGAATCCTGGTAAAACTAGTTTTCCTTTGTCCCTTGTTTATCTCCAGGAATCTTGTTACAAATTGTTCTCCTGTTTTCCTTGTTTGTCTCACCGGAACATACACGACATTAAACGTCTGATTGGGCAAGGAGGAGCCTCAAAGCTGATGTGTATCTGTATGTGGCATCTTTTCCTTGTTGTAGGAAGTCACTCCACCAGAAGCTGGTTGACCTTTACATTGAGGAATGCAGCAAGCACCCAGAGGTTAAGGTCAGTACAATCTTGGGGTCATGGGATGTGGGAGTCTGTTTGGTATTTGTTAAAATAAACTTGAAGTTGCCTGTAGTTAATGGGATGGAGATGAAATTTTTTAAAAACCCATACATTAAGGTAGTTATAAAAATATTTAGGGGTATGTTTGGTACCTAGAATGACTATAGTTTATGATGTATGTATGGGGTATAGTTTGTGAAATATTGAAAAAATAGTTTCTTGCTTCTTTAGGTCTTGCAGTTTCATTTTTTGCATCCATTCTCATAGAGATTGATAATCATTAAATAATTATCAAATGAATATTGATAAATATCCGGGAAATTCTTTTTGGCAATAATACAAAAATCCTAAAAATATCACTATCCCAATAGATATGTCGGACACTGAATGTAGGACTCTGTAGTGTTGAATTGTACCGATTGTCGATCTTTCAGCTATCTGGGGTAATGGGGGGGGGGGCCTCGCTGTGATTTTGCTGGAATATTGCTATAAGCGGCATAAAACTAAACTAACTCACCTTTTGCCAGCCCTATAACGGACCCTGTGTGATATCAGACACTGAATGTAGGACTCTGTAGTGTTTTATTGTCCCGATTATCCATCCTTTAGCCAGTCGGGGCGGTGGGGTGGCCTGGTGGTTAAACCATTCACTCGTCACACCGAAGACCCGTGTTCAATTCCCCACATGGGTACAATCTGTGAAGCCCATTTCTGGTGTTCCCTACCGTGATATTGCTGGAATATTGCTAAAAGTGGCGTAAAACCAAACTCACTCACTCACTTTTAGCCAGCCCTATGACGGACCCTGAGTATTGCCAGACACTGAATGTAGGACCTGAAAGTGTACCAGACCTAGGAAGACACTGCATGTAGGACACTGTAGTGTTGTATTGGTATCATGTTTGCTTTCCAGGAGTTGGACCATGCCACCCACCTACTTGGCAAGCTGGTGCGGAGAGATAAGCTGAACTGTTTGGTCCTGAACCTGTACCCTGCCAACGAGGGCTACTCTCTTATGTTGAAGGCCAGGAATGGTGTGGAGTCAGAGACCATCAAACTGCCATATGAGGTACTACCATTAGGTTTCTTAGTTTGCTATGAGGCTAACATCTATAAGTGGCATTTAGAAGTTGGCGTGATGAACGGGGAGAGTTCTATGGATATACAACTTCTTTATTATTAATATGAGCAACATTTTGGTGTATCAACTAACACTGTTATCAAGCAAGTGATGTATAATACTAAAGGCAAGGCTATATATACATTATTATTATTATTTTTTTTTTAATAGGATATATATAGCGCACATATCCACACAACTAGTGCATGCTCAAGGCGCTGGTATTTTTTCCCTCGCTCATTGGATGTCAATCCCAACAGCACATCGGGTTATCAATCTCAACTCCCTGGGGAGTATAGAACTCTTTCTGCCACTAGGCGCACTGAGTTATTGTGGCTTTCTCATCCTAACGAGATACCCATTCACAGCTGGGTGGACTGGGACACATAGTCACAGTATTTTACATGGTAATGTTGGAACAGTAGGTTGATTGATGTTTACACAATTAATGAGGTTGATGTACAACGGGATGATTTCAGCATTTAGTATAGACTGGGTACCTTAAGTATGACAAGTAATATTTCTATTTGCAGGAATCAGAGCTCTTGGAATATGTTGATGCTGCCCAGGTAAATTCAGTACCTGACTTAAGTCTTTTTTGGTATTCTGTTTGACATTACATGACACACTGCATTACAATGCAGTGACATGCTACTTCACCCTGTTGCCTGAATCTCAATATAACCTTGCATAACTTCAAATGGGGCACAAGAGGTCTAGTCACCTATGGTGCCACAGAGTTGTTCAGAGTTGTGAACGGTGCCACAGAGTTGTTCAGAGTTGTGTCCACTCAGGTGGCCTTGTCATGAAAGGTGCCACAAAGTTGTTCAGAGTTGTGTCCTTGGACACTTGTCATGAAAGGTGCACAAAGTTGTTCAGAGTTGTGTCCTTTGGTGGCCTTGTCATGAAAGGTGCCACAGAGTTGTTCAGAGTTGTGTCCCTTGGGAACACTCAGGTGGCCTTGTCATGAAAGGTGCCACAGAGTTGTTCAGAGTTGTGTCCCTTGGGAACACTCAGGTGGCCTTGTCATGAAAGGTTGTTCAGAGTTGTGTCCCTTGGGAACACTTGTCAGGTGGCCTTGTCATGAAAGGTGCCACAGAGTTGTTCAGAGTTGTGTCCCTTGGGAAACACACAGGTGGCCTAGTCATGAAAGGTGCCAACAGAGTTGTGTCCCTTGGGAACACACAGGTGGCCTTGTCATGAGGAACAAGGGTGCCACAGAGTTGTTCAGAGTTGTGTCCCTTGGGAACACACACAGGTGGCCTTGTCATGAAAGGTGCCACAGAGTTGTTCAGAGTTGTGTCCCTTGGGGAACACACAGGTGGCCTTGTCATGAAAGGTGCCACAAAGTTGTTCAGAGTTGTGTCCCTTGGGAACCACAGGCCCTAGTCATGAAAGGTGCCACAGAGTTGTTCAGAGTTGTGTCCCTTGGGAACATACAGGTGGCACCACAAGAGTGTCCTTAGCCACAGGTAGTCATGAAAGGTGCCACAAAGTTGTTGTGTCCCTTGGGAACACAGTTGTTCATGAAAGGTGGCCTAGTCATGCCACACAGTTGTTCAGAGTTGTGTCCTTGGGAACCCACAGGTGGCCTTGTCATGAAAGGTGCCACAGAGTTGTTCAGAGTTGTGTCCCTTGGGGAACCTTGGCCTTGTCATGAAAGGTGCCACAAAGTTGTTCAGAGTTGTGTCCCTTGGAACCACACAGGTGGCCTTGTCATGAAAGGTGCCACAGAGTTGTTCAGAGTTGTGTCCCTTGGGAACACACAGGTGGCCTAGTCATGAAAGGTGCCACAGAGTTGTTCAGAGTTGTGTCCCTTGGGAACACACAGGTGGCCTTGTCATGAAAGGTGCCACAGAGTTGTTCAGAGTTGTGTCCCTTGGGAACACACAGGTGGCCTAGTCATGAAAGGTGCCACAGAGTTGTTCAGAGTTGTGTCCCTTGGGAACACACAGGTGGCCTTGTCATGAAAGGTGCCACAAAGTTGTTCAGAGTTGTGTCCCTTGGGAACACAGGTGTCCTTGAGACACACAGGTGGTGGCCTTGTCATGAAAGGTGCCACAGAGTTGTTCAGAGTTGTGTCCCTTGGGAACACACAGGTGGCCTTGTCATGAAAGGTGCCACAGAGTTGTTCAGAGTTGTGTCCCTTGGGAACACTCAGGTGGCCTTGTCATGAAAGGTGCCACAAAGTTGTTCAGAGTTGTGTCCCTTGGGAACACACAGGTGGCCTTGTCATGAAAGGTGCCACAGAGTTGTTCAGAGTTGTGTCCCTAGGGAACCCACAGGTGGCCTTGTCATGAAAGGTGCCACAAAGTTGTTCAGAGTTGTGTCCCTAGGGAACCCACAGGTGGCCTTGTCATGAAAGGTGCCACAGAGTTGTTCAGAGTTGTGTCCCTTGGGAACACTCAGGTGGCCTTGTCATGAAAGGTGCCACAAAGTTGTTCAGAGTTGTGTCCCTTGGAAACACAAGGAATTTATGATTGTGGGTTCCCTAAATTATGTTTCTAGATGTGTGTCAGCACATTACCTGTGCTCATAGGTTTCAACGATGTGGTAAACCTCCGGTTTCAACGGCAAGCTGACATGCCATGATAGGATTGGTATGCTCCTCAAAGCGGAATTAAATCTGACTAACTCACTCACTCATGACTTGCATGAGCTCCTAACATTACTTTACCAGTTGACATGATGTTTCGAGATTATGGTTATATTTTCATAATGTTTCACACTTTGTGAAAGGCAGCCACTCTTAGTATTACTTTGAAATTCACATATCATGGGCTTTAGCATTGATGGGTTTGACTTGTGTTTAGCTAATTGGCAGCATATGATTACAACTGAGGCCTTGAGTGTTGTTGTCCTTTCACATTAAAATATGTAAGAACTGAACTTTCAGACTCAATACACCTTGCATGAGATATCAGGGACATGACTCTAGTGGGCTTCATTATCAAGAGGTGTGACAGTAAGATCCGTTAATATGCCATGAACCCAACATAAAACTCAACTGAGATGGACTGATGAAGGTCCGGGTTAGAATATTGATCTTCAGTAACCCATGCTTGTAGTAAAAGGCGACTAACGGGATCGGGTGGTCAGGCTCACTGACTTGGTTGACACATGTCATCGTATCCCAATTACGTAGATCGATGCTCATGCTGTTGATCAGTGCAATGGCTGGTATAGACTAGATTATTTGCAGACCACTGCCATAGAGCTGGAATATTGCTAAATGGGGTGTAATACTAAACTCACTCATTCACTGACTCACTTATTCAACTGAGATGATTTTTTGTGTTTGTTGCTTGTGTCCCCAGCTACCACCGTTCTTAGTCGACCTACTGGAGAAAGCCCAGGTGAGATCATACACTTTTCAAGATGGTGATGTTCATTGCAAAGTGTTTTTTATACAGTGTTCTATGAAATAAAATAAACACTGTGACTAATTTATATTCACTTTTAAAGTTATTTTTTGTTTTGCACAAATGTAAACAGTTGATACACTATTGACAAAGATATAGCCCTAATGTGAAAGAGTCAGTGTGAAAGCCGTCAAAAATTCTACCTATAAACAGGTTTGTAGCAATGGGAAGTCGCATATACAACCACTCGCGGTGGGGTAGCCTAGTGGTTAAAGAGTTCGATCGTCACGCTGAAGACCTGAGCTCTTTTGATAATGTTCATATGTTCATACTTTACTTCCTGCTTCTAAAAGCCTGTAAAGACTCTCAAAACAAATGTTATCATTAACTCCTTTGAAGAGGGAAATTACTGGTATATAGTTCAGTAATGATGAGCCCTTTTCGTCATGTTCATATGTTTAATAGGTGTTGTCATGTTTTCATTTTGGAAGGTACCTGTGAAGGTCTGGGTTAGAATGACCTTCAGTAACCCATGCTTGTCATAAGAGGCGACTAATGGGATCGGATGGTCAGGCTCGCTGACTTGGTTGACACATGTCATCGGTTCCCAATTGTGCAGATCGATGCTCATGATGTTGATCACTGGATTGTTTGGTCCAGACTCGATTATTTACAGACCGCTACCATATAGCTGGGATATTGCTGAGTGCAGCATAAAACTAATCTCACTCACTCACTCATTTTGGAAGGCATACATGAGAGGTGCAGATAAGCTGCATATCTGCGTATATTGCGCAAATATTTACGTGAAAACTCAATTCCTATACAGTATATTGTGTACAAGTACGCTTCAATTTTTGTAAATACTCAATTAATTTGATCTTACATGCGTACAAACAAAATAGATAAATAACTGAGGTATATTAGAGGTTCTATTTCAGTACATGAACTTGGCAACTTGCAGTCTTTCTGATCGTTTGTCATATTACAGATAAAATATAAAGTCCAAACACGTAAACCAACATTTAAACTTGATTATATTTCTACAATTAATGGAAAATGGCAAAATACCCAATTGAGTTTGAGTGAGGTGGGTACAATTTATTTGGTTACTCAAAGGGAAATTAGGATACCCAGTTGAGAAGAACACAAACGAGTGCATAACTCAATGACCCAAAAAGTTACCTGTAGCTCTGATTAATGGTAGACAAGGGTTGTTATTCTTTGAACTTTGTTTCTGAACTTAATCAAACTGAGGGACCGTAAAGCAATCATTGGTATTACTTGCCTCATGATGATTTGATGCCGTGAATGTAACCATATGTGGAGGTGATATGTTGGGGTACTATCTTTCAGGTGAATGTGTTTTACAATGGTTGCGTTATCGTGGAAGTGCGAGATTTCCGCCGCTCTACAACAGGATCACATGACACCCAATATGTCATGTTGAAACCAACACCGCAGGTAAAGTTATATTCTATAGTCAGAGGAATGGTGGATATTGGATATTGGATACTGATAGATGTTACATGTCACTGACCGGTGACGTTCTGGGCTAGAATTGACCTTCAACTGTCTGACAGAATGTGTACACTCATTGGAATTCCTGGTGAAAGAAGAAGTGCAACTTATGTATGTCGTAAGGTTGTCAATATGGATTGCATGGTCATGTAAGCTGACTGGGTGGATTGCATGTCGTGTTATCCCAACCACATGATCAATGCCCAGGATGTTTACTGGATTGACCACTCAGGGATTAGCTATATGCTGACAGGTGTCATATAATCAGAATATACCTGAATGCCACAAAACAGCAAACAAACTGTGAACTTCAGCTCTAAATTTTTTTGTTGCAGTCACTTCTGTGTGACATCAATGCTTTGACCAACGACGGCAATCGCTGGACCCAAGATGACGTCTTCCAGCTGGAGAGTCAGCTGTTGATGGCAACAGAGGAACCCATCTGTCTCGACCCCTCCCCCGCAGTGCTTCTCATCAACAACCGACTTCAGTTTGAACACAAGAAACTCAATGACCCAATGCTCAAGAGGTGGGCCTGCTTTCTCACCTTCACATATGAGGGGCGGTGGGGTAGCCTAGTGGTTAAAGCGTTCGCTCGTCGCACCGAAGGCCCAGGTTCGATTTCCCAGATGGGTGCAATGTGTGAAGCCCATTTTTGGTGTACCCTCCTGCAATCTTGATGGAATATTGCTAAAAGCAGCGTTAAACTAAATTCACTCTTTGCATGTGGAACAAATGATGAACAATTTGTTTCTGGTACCTTAAGTGGAAAGTCTAATCTGCATAAACAATAACAATCATTATTTCCCTGGTAGTCATCGTACAAAACAACCTTAGTGCTAAGACTGTCGAGGTCTTTGCTAAGGAATGGGCGTTCGTGGCCCACCTGTGTAGCCTCCCGTCGGCACACCTGAACCCTCTGATTGTGGATTCAAATCCCAGTTCAACCCAAATTATAATAGGGGATATGTATGGATGGTAACTTCTGTAATATGAGGAACACAACATTTCTGAGTATAATTTACTCCATCATCAGATTTAGAATGATGAAGGAGTTAGAATTCATTCATTCATTCATTCATTTATTCATTCATTCATTCATTCATTCATTCATCCATCCATTCTTTCAAATCTTGTCTTTCACTCAACAGGTAAAATTCAGTTAAAGTTCCAACTAAGGCAAAGTTAGTTAAACCTATTTACTGATTTCCATGAAAATATATATTCTGATAAGCACTTTTCATTCCACTAAATGTAAGCTTCATCACTAGAAACACATGTCACTTACAAAGCACATGGTATCTAGGTATCTGGAGGGGATATAATTCAGCTAAGTCACGAAACAACAACATGTTACATAGGGCAGGGGCTATACAATATGTATGGCGATTCACGTATTTAAGACCCGTGAAGATCTGAGTTAGAATGAACCTTCAGTAACCCATGCTTGTTGTAAGAGGCGACTAACAGGATCGCGTGGTCAGGCTCGCTGGCTTGGTTGACACATGTCATCGGTTCTCAGTTGTGCAGATCGATGCTTCTGCTGTTGATCACTGGATTGTCTGGTCCAGACTCGATCATATACAGACCGTCGTCATATAGCTGGAATATTGCTGAGTGCGGCGTAAAACAAAACTCACTCACTCACATATTTAAGTGGAAACTTCTTAACTGAAAATATTTCAGAACATGTACAAAAGGAAAAGCTAGCTTTAGAAACATATTTGTAGTTATTATTGTGCCCTCAAAATACGAATTACAACACATTTTTCAATATTTTTATTTCTGTCCATTGGGTTTGCCAGGAAACTATGATAAGGGTCCCGAATCTGGTGTGATCTGTTTATGTTTCCGAGCTCAACACCAAAGTAGTAAATGTCTTAGACATGCTGTCATTTAGCATTTAACTTTAATCACATCTGATTTGTATTAAATTCTGCAGCATGACATCTAACAATAGTAACATGTTCTGTTTCATGTTTTCCTTGAAACGTTTTAAAGCTCATTTTTCTACAAATACTGTGACTCTGAAAGTAATAACTAATGCATATCTTAAAATAAACGTGAAATATACTGAGAGAAACAAATAAGGATCACAGGAATTCAAGTGTTCCTTTATCATTTTCCAGTTTCATCACCACAACGCTATTCAAAGCTGGTGATGAACACTGGAACATATTAAAGGAACGCTTGAATTTTCCTGTGATCCTTATTTGTTTCGTTCACAAGCTCTTCTTAACTGACCCATTTCTTGGCAGGTGTGTGAAGAAGTTTACGCAGGCTGCAGTCAACAGGAAGAGGAAGTTAGAGCAGGCTGCCGCACCTCCAGAGCTGAAGCTACATGACTTCATACACAAACGGAAGGACAAGAGTCGAGCCAACCCTCCTGTCAACCTCAAAGTTGGAAAATCAGTACGAATTCTTACTTTCTGTCATGAAAAGTAGGGTTGTAGTCCTTGGGATGCTCCAAGTGTGCAATTTTAAAGATTTTGGGCTTTTTGATATTATGAGCAGTTTAAAAAATGTATTTTATTAGTGCTATTAAGCTGTAGCAACTGTAACCGGCAACTTAATGTTTCAGTGTGTCGACATGTGGAAACAGAGGCCGACACAGTTGTCAGCTCCAGAGTCTGTTAATGTAAGTTTGTCGATCTTGATGATGATGATGTTGATGGTGGTGGTGATGATGATGATGATGGTGGTGGTGGTGGTGGTGGTAGTGGGTGATGATGATGATGATGATGATGATGATGATGATGATGATGATGATGATGATGACGACGATAAACATGATTACGTCGATGATAGGCAGTGTAGACTGGTTTAGAATTAGTATTGGAAATTCTATGGAAAAAGAAGAGCAAGCGAGCGAGAGTGAGTGAGTTTTCAAAGCAGTGACCGATGTTTTCAGTGTCATTCAACAGTAGCAGATGTAGTATGTTTGCTTCATTATCACTCTTGATTGAAAAGAGGTGTTAGACATGTCTGTATGGAGAGTTTCTTAACATTTTGTAATGTTTGAAGGTGGAGGAACTGGCCAAAATTCAGAAGCAACCAGCTCCTGGGAATCATCTGGTAAGAACATGCACAGAATTATAGTTAATATTTATGGAATAATGTCAGGAGACATCTGAACAGCTGAGACTAGATTCCTGCACCACAATCATGGTGAAATCTCTAAATATCTATACCTTGACGTAATGAGAGCAACACTTCAACACCTGTTTGGTATGTGCAAAACAACAACTGCAATAATGAAACGAAAGTGGAATCAGATGTCCTCAAGTTCATTTTTTTCTCTTTTTTTTTTTACAGATTGACAATCTACATTTTTGGTTAGAGATCATTTTGTGGTTTAGATTCAGCGTTAAAGTGTATCCACGATTCATGTGAGAGTTCAGCATGTTCTGAATTATGTTTTTGGGTGAGAGGGGTGAGGGTGGGTTGTCTCAAAACTTAAGGAATTATGTTTTTCGCTACATTTCTACTGTTGAACTGGTATGATATTTTTTGTATCTAGATTGAAGAGCACACGCTGGAGCGAGACCCTACACAGGAGCGACGTATGTTGGCAAAGATAACCATCTACCAGCAGCCCTGTAACGACTGCTACATCGGAGAACTCTATCTGGACTACGACTACTGTAATGATAAAATAGCCGATGGCCATTCATGTCAGTAAGTAACTCAGCTGTGTTCTTCCTTCCAGGTTGGTTGATTGGTTGGTTTTTGTTTTGCACTGCACTCAGCAACATTCCAGCTGTATGGCGGCGGACTGTAAATAATCAAGTCTGGACCAGACTCCAGTGGTCATCATGAGCCATCATCGAAACCCCAGACAAGTTCACCAAGTAGCTCTGTCGCCAGAGGCACTGCAGCGAACCAGAAGTGACATGAGGAAGAAGTGACAGTATTGTGCGATAAATTTCCTGCTACATTCACGTGGTTAATGTCCACTCACCACTATGTAAATACTAGTCGATCTTCTTCCTGTAACCGTGATGAGTGAGGCTGATCATCGTTTTCACCATCACTAGCGTCTGGGGTATTTGTACCCCCCTAGAATATATTTGATCTTTAACACTTCAAGATACCAACAGCTACCCTTAAAGATCCAACTCATGTTGGCAACTTGATTATTGATAGGTCGCTATGATTTAACAAGAACATTGTAGATGGGCATAAAACAACATTCACTCACTCTGAATCACTTCAGCATCCACACTTGGTGTAACTTGGTTTAGGGAGTCGGCATCTCATATTGGCATTGGCCTGTTGTTTATTATGGTCTGTTCTTTGGATAATGTGTTTACATTTATATTTTTATGCCATTTTAATATTTTTGAATTTTGAGATCTTTTTTATATATTCCTCCTTGGGGTACTTATGAGCATTTAAATGTCCATTTAAAATCCCTACGACAGTTGTAACAATATTTGAATAAAATATTTTCAAAACAAAAACACTACGTTTTGTCTTGTGAGACCACCCTTACAGGGCCCTACGGCTCCCTACAGCCAAGAGCAGGTAACTCTAGACTATAACCTCGTACCTCACTTTCCATGCTGTCGTTTCACCGACTAGACGTGGGTCCACTTCGACGAAGTTAATTTCCCTCTGCAAATATGAGTGTTTCAGACACAGCTACTGTATGTATGGTTCTCTTTTTTCCCTGCATGGGCGATTTGAAGATTTGTTCTGAATATTTTCATTCATCTTTTTTGTTGTAACTTGGTCCCTGTCGCTGTCGGCTCGCCAGGTGCGTGTCAAGATGGCGGCCGGGTTCCTTCGCTATCCTCATTGTTCATTAGCTTCCCTTGTGGTTTGCAATGTTTAGTGTGGTTATAGTGTTTTTAATTGTATGTTATTACATGTGGGGCGTTGTTTCTGCTGCTAGCATTCTCTACATTTACGCTTTCAGTCGTAATTGTTAGTTATGTTGCAGTGTGTCTTAGTTGTTATTATCGCATTAGTTGTGGTCACCCATGCATGTTTTTTCATATATCTATGTGTGTATGGTTAGGTTACTGCACGGATTTTATCAACTTGTTGCAGTTTAAATCCTGTACTTCATGCCTCGCTGCTATACCCGTGAAGGACACTCACGAGGTGTGCTTACGATGCCTGATGGAGGCCGATCATGAGGAGACTGGTTGTTTGGCGTGTGCTCTTTTTACCCCTCAAACTATTAAGGCCAGGAGGGTGGATAAGCTGTTTTACAGCAATTTGCTTCGGGCGGGGGGTGATATCTGGGCTCAGGATCCCCCTTCCAAGCGCTCTCATAAAAAAAGGGGTCTATGGGAGCCGCCTCCCATACGGAATCGGCTCCCAAATGGGCAAAGGTTACCAAGGAGGCTTTCTCTGCTAAGCCTGTAAAATCGCCTCCTGTATCTACCCCTGTACCTGTATCCACCGCACCTCCTGTTGATTCGGCACCCAGTGTTCCATTTGATGCCTTAACTCATTTTTTTCAGGAACAGATGTCGTCTGTGAAATCACTGATTGACACGGCGCTGTCTGGGTTCCGCAAGGAGCCCAGCACGCCTGTCGTCGGGGGTGGATCGGACGCATATGGGGTTGGCTGCGCCCGAAGCTACGGCTCAGGGGAACGCCTCCCCGGCAGCTTGATCCTGGCTTCGGCTATGGTGATAGTGTGCCTTGACCTTTGTGGTGACCTAGTTTGGGCTCAGGTTCGCGTCACAGGGTTTGCCCTGTCGATGCAGGGTGGTGCCCTGACTGACGGTCGCCTGACTGATGACTGCCGCCCTCGGCGCGCCCAGCTCGAGGACACCTCGCGCTAGTGGTCAGTCTGGGTTGCCAGGGAAACCTGTTCCTCTCGGCACCTCGGCGCCCAAGTCTGACACTTCTGGCTCCTCTTGACCTTTTGAGCCCTTGAGCCCTTCGTGTTCGGCGTCTGTGGTGCCCTCGGCAGTCTCTCTGGATTATGAGAGTACGGCAGCCGAGGATTGTGCCGAGGTTGATATGGAGGAGGATGACGGGAGGGAGGAGTCGGAGGTTTGGGTTCTGTACTCCTTTGGGTCGTCCCTGCGGCAGGTTCGCAATAGGATCGCTGAAGTGCTGCCCCAGGTGGCTGTTCCCATGCAGGCGGCCGATCCCGCGGAGTTTCGGCTCCCGGGGGAGGCTTTTGCGCCCAACCGGGTCGGCGAGGTCCGCTTACGCACATGCCATCACTGGTGAGTGAGGTTGTTAATCCTCTCCTTACGGGTGCCTGTACTAGGTTTGATTTACCTGATGTTGGCAAAAGGTACCAGTTGGGAGAGGATGCGCTTTTCGAGCCGCCAGTGGTGGACGAATGTGTTTTTGCCTCTGTTACCCTCGGGGGGTCGTCCACGTCTTCCCTGGCCTTGGCCAGGCAGGGCAGGCGGCTCCCCCCTTTTCCTACCAATGCGCCTACCAAAGCTGCCCTACGCCTTTGAAGTGCTACTTGTGCCCGCCCAGCAGTTACCCGTCCTTTACCTGTCGGCGCTACAGGGTCAGCTGGTGGATCAGAGCACTTGTGCCGACTTGTCGGCTCCCGTGCTCGCGCATCAGCTCACGGGCGTTCATTCTCATCTGGCTCGGGACAGTATTAGGTGCTGTGCCAGCCAGATGATGGGTGCCGTTATGGGCATGCGTCGGCTTTGGTTGTCAGTGGCGCGCTATTCTCCAGCCACGCAACAGGCGCTCCTGTCTCTGCCGTTTTAAATGGGGTCCTCCCTGTTCTCTGGGGCACTCCAGGTTGTGCAGGAGGCCGCAGAGGCTGTGTCTGCCTTCAAAGACTCTAAGCCTTTGTTGGAACAGCCCTCCATTCATCGCCAACGGCCATCCCCTCTTACTGCCGCATATCCTTCTGCCCCGGCGAAGGAGCCTGCAAAGTGGACTGCCCCTTTGCAAGCCAAGCGGAGTAAGAGAGCTAGAGGCAAGGGCAGGCCTGCTCAGTCACAGCAGCCTTTTCGGGGCAGGGGGAAGCCAGCCCCGGCTTCCTGTTGAGTCTTCTCCCGGAGCCCTTATTGCCCCCCACACACGCAAGTGGAGACTTGCCGACTGTGGGGGTGCATTGCCTTCTGCCAAACGTCCCTGTCGGCGGCCGGTTGTCACTATTCCTTCGGGAGTGGGAGGCGGCCACTTCAAATCCCTGGGTCCTGTCCATACTCAGGGATGGCCATTTGCCACAGTGGAGGCGAGATCCACCATCCTTCTCCGGGGTTCGGCACACTCCAGTGCCGGCTTCCCAGGTGAAGGCAGACGTACTCCGTGCCAAAGTTCAGTCCTTACTGGACAAGGCAGCCATCGAGGTGGTTCCTGTGGGTCAGCAAGGAGAGGGGTTTTATTCCACTTACTTCCTAGTGACCAGAAGGACGGAGGGTTCAGACCCATTCTGAATCTCAGAGGGCTGAACAAGTTACTAGAGGTGCCGTCTTTCAGGATGGAGACACTCAGGTCAGTGATCTCATCCGTCGAGACAGGGGATTGGCTTACGTCAATCGATCTCAAAGACGCATACCTCCATGTTCCAATGCACCCCGAGTTCAAGAAGTACCTCAGGTTAAGCCTTGGGATGGGCTACCAGTTTAAATTGTGCTACCAGTTCTGCCAAGAGTGTTCACCCCTAATCCCAGCTCATCTCTCACGGTGCCAAGAGTGTTCACCAAACTTTATGCTAATTCCAGCTCAGTTAGCTGGTGTCACTGGTCTCAGGGCAGGTGTTGTTACCGATTCACCTGGATGGGATTGGCTTCATCAAAGTCCAAAGGACTGTAGGCAGTTTCTCGAGTCCCCTATGTTTCGAATATGGCTTCTCAGGCCAGTATGGGGTCGCGCCTGGGAAGTCAGCCTGCACATCAATGTGTTACAACTGAGAGCAGTCTCTCAGGCCTATGTGTTCGAGCGGGAAGTCAGCCTGGAGTTGTGTTCGAGAGCAGTCCGGGTGTTCGAGATTGGTTCGGGGCCTGTGATTCGTCTAGAGATGGACAATCAAACGGCCATGACTTACATCCTCAAGCAAGGCGGCACAGTGTCTCCGGCCACTCCTTCAGGAGGCGTGGCAGTTTCTACTCTGGTGCGATCAGTTCAACATTTGGGTTTTGCCTGTTTATCTCCGGTGGTAGACAACGCGTGCATGCGGATGCTCTCTCGCGGCGTATACTAGCCCCGCACGAGTGGCTGCTCGACCGGGGGATATTCGGGATTATCTCCCAGTTATTCGGGTCGTTCCAGGTGGATCTGTTTGTGTCTGGGGTGACGAACCAGATTCCTGTTTTGCTCTCGGATTCCGGATCCGAGGGCGCTAGCCAACAACGCCTTTCAGCTAGATTGGACGGGCAGGGTACTGTGGGCGTTTCCACCGATACCACTGATTCCCAGGGTCCTGTCTCAGCTGACCGCGCAACCAGCTCGGCTACTTGTGCTTCTTGCACCCCTTTGGTCGGCTCAAAGTTGGTTTCCGGTAATCATCAGGTTTCTGGCTCAGCCTCCTGTTCTATTACCTTTTCGACCGGACCTCCTATCCCAGAACGGAGCACCCCACCCGAATCCCAGGATTCAGTGGGTGGCTTGGCCGTTGGCCGCTGTCCGGGATCGCCTCCAAGCGAGCGGAATTCCTGCACCAGTTGCAGACACAATTCTGGCTTCGCGGATGGATTCGACAAACGTTCAGTATGAGGATAGATTGGCCTGTTATGCGCGCTGGTGTGTCAACAGGGGGATTCTTGATCCCTTTTCTGCAGATTTAGTCTCTGTGTTGGAATTCCTCCAGTTTCAGTCTGATGCCGGTCTAGCGGCTTCAACTGTTCGAGGATATTCTACGGCTATTTTTTGCTTTCCATATTCCTGTTGACGGTGCACTCTTGAGGCAGCACCCTCTTGTGCAGTGCTTTTTAGCAGGCGTGGACAGAATCCGTCCGGTTGTCCAGCGGATTAGTCCCCCGTGGGACTTGCCAATCGTTCTTGATTGGCTGTCCGGTCCACTATTTCACAATCTGTCGGCTCTTTCCCTCAGCTGTTAACGTGGAAGACGGCTTTTCTTGTGGCGGTAACTTCAGGCAGGCGGGTAGGCGATATTCACGCAATGTAGGCCGATCCCGCGCTCACTGTTTTTCACCAAGACAGAGTTAGCATACGGCTGACTGATACTTACCACTCTAAGAAGGATAGTGCCTTTCATGTGACAGTGCCTATTGAGCTCTCGGCTTTCACTCAGCTTCCCCTGCCCGGTACCTCTCTACGACGTGCTCACATCTTAGATGTCCGTAAGACCCTTAAGGCTTATATCAAGCAGACAAGGGGTATCCGTAAGGATAACCAATTGTTTTGTTGTTATGGCGGGGGTCAAGGCTGGTCTTCCGGCGAACAAGCAAACCATATCTAGGTGGCTTGTCTCTGCCATACATATGAGCTATACTCACACAGGTCGTATCCCGCCTGCAGGTTTGAAAGCTCATTCGGTTAGGGCAGTTGCTACATCGAAAGCTTACGCTGCAGCCCTGCCCATTGAGGAGATCTGCTCCGCGGCTATTTGGAGCTGTCCCAGTACGTTCATCCGTCATAACTTGACATACTCTCCAGTGAGCGTGCTCGGTTCGGTCAGTTCTCTCCAGTGGGCATGGTTCCACCTCTCTAGCCGATTGAGCTTTCGAGGATTTTATGACATGAACCATTTTTCTGCCGTTTTTCACTGGTGTTGGGTTTGCACAAAATAAAAACAACTTTTACCTATTCCCTTGGTGACGGGGTTTTATATGGTGATGGTTTTTATTCCCATGTCTTTTGCATTAGTCCGGTCTGCTCTAGACTTATTTGCCTTGGAAACCTTTGCTTAATAGACGTATTATGGCATTTTGTTTCTTGCGGCTTATTGTGGGATTCCCTTATCTTCTCTTCCGATTGATTAACGGGAGGGAGGGAGGGTTTATCTCGACTGTTTACATTAGCGAGGTTTCGCTTTGTAATTGTAATGTGTTCGACCCTGACCCTGGCTCATGCCCCCGCCTGGTTGGCTATGGTGGACACGTGACTGGGTAAGTGAGCTTTTTTCTGCTATTTTTAGCTTGGGAAATTCCACTTCTTGTCGGGGGTGTTTTGTGCGGACAGAATGCCACTCCTTAGCTCCGTCTTTAGGAGTCTGTCTTATGCTTATAAGTACCCCAAGGAGGAATATATAAAAAAGAATCGAACTAACCTGTAGAGGTTTCAGATTCTTTGAATATATTCCTCCTTGGGGTACGCCCGCCCACCTCCCCACATTCTGTCTGATTTCGTTCAGCATGGAAAGTGAGGTACGAGGTTATAGTCTAGAGTTACCTGCTCTTGGCTGTAGGGGGCCATAGGGCCCTGTAAGGGTGGTCTCACAAGACAAAACGTGGTTTTTTGTTTTGTAAATATTTTATTCAAATATTGTTACAACTGTCGTAGGGATTTTAAATGGACATTTAAATGCTTATAAGTACTCCAAGGAGGAATATATTCAAAGAATCTGAAACCTCTACAGGTTAGTTCAAGTTTTTGATGAAATAAAGTACTTGCTTGTTTTCAAAGCAAATTGCAATCTGTTGACAATACTACTGGCATTTTCAAATCCTGTTGATATAAAACTATCAGTGTTCAATCAATTGCAATAGTTTTATTGGTTGTTACACTTCTATTCTTATGTGTACATGTATTCCCGTGTGTGCATACATCAGCTTGCCTTCATTTCAGATTCACGCTTGGATCAAAAGAGAGTGTTGATAAGTAAGTTGAACACTTTGTGTATGTATTTATGTGATGTTGTTAACATTTGGTCCTAATGCTATTGCACTGAATGATATTCCCCTTTTCCGTAAAGTGCTATTTAATTTCCCTTTTAAATCCCCTTTCGTTTTGCATGTCACATTCCGCAATCGCATTTCGCTTCGCATTTCTAGTTTTGTATGCATTCGGAATTTTGGGGAATGACCAATATGTCAGCCTAGAGTACATTCGTCACCACTCACCCCTTTCCATAATCTCCAAGAAGATTCGTCCCCCTATTGATGCTTGTTATGTGCGAAAATACGACAAACCATTCAGAATGAGAGTAATTGTGGCGGTGCTTTGATAAAGATAATCTCGACTACTTAAATCGTTTATGGCATTATGGGTATTGTTTAAAAAAACATGAAAAATATCAAAAAAGAATCATGTGATTGACGATGAGAGATTCAAATACATGAACGTGCGTTTGTTGACATAACGGCTCTCATGGGTCCAACTGAGTGTATTTCTGATGATCTTGCGGGCTTGTTGTGGTGATTGTACGTGCGCTTCCAACAGTTTTAGGAAATGTAATGATAAATCGCTATGAGTTTCAACACAATAGTATTATATCTGTTTGTAACTAATTAACTTTAATCTTTAACATTGGGCGTATATTTCACATCTCTGGGAATATTTTAGTCTGACTTTTCTTGGTCATTCATATTTTTTTGTGAATTCATTTAAAATTCCCACTGGGGTATAGCAAGGTTACACGAATGTTCAGTTTGAGAAATATTTTTAAAACATTTTTGAATTTCTGCTTTGGGATTTAATGTAGCTGGGTTTTTTTTAATAAATTTTATTTGAATATTCAATAAAACAAATCCCAATTGTGATTGTTAAACCCTTTTCAGAAATATAATTGGAAATATCAGGTGAACATCTGGTAATAATTACGTCAGAATATATCTGTAGCAAATATGTTTTGCTCCTTCTAATAGTTGTATCAAGGAGGTTTAATTCTTTAAAACAAATAAGCAAAAACAAAAACAGCAAACTGGTTATGTTACTCGTAATTGAAGTTCATTGTTGGACACAAATGTTAGTTCCTTTAATTTACATTAATAAAACATAAGCAAAATATAATTGACTTTTTCCTGAGATGCCCTAGTTCCTTGACCCAGAAAAACAAAACCTGTTTCTGAGCAACGTAGGTCTCTTGCCCTCTGAATAAATCTCTGGCCAATTTTTGCACAGAAAATGAGACTTGTAACGTATGTATGTATGTCCCAATTCTTGTTAACGTGATATCTCATGAACTGTTGTACTCAATGTCTTCAAATTTGGTGACATCCTACATTAGGGGATTATGTAGACACTAGTTTATTTGGGTTAACTTGACCTTATTTTCAAGGTCACCATGCCACTTTGACCACTTTTCAAATGTATGTAAACGCGATACTTCATTAAACGCACCCAATTTTAGCCTCCGATCTGAAGAATATACATTGCCATTTCTTACAAATTTGATGTCAGGAATTAACATAACGGGATATCAGGATATGGTAGGGTAATAGGGGGTGGGGTACCCAGGTAGAAAGTTTGGACCTGTCCCAGCCCTTATATACTCTGATACCGACAGTGGATGTGTGCATCTGCATCTATACATTCAAAATCTGCTATATTCCTGAAATAGTGACCATGACTAAAAACTACATCACATGAAAGGTAATCGTCTATTTGACCAAAAGATAAAAACTAGTAAATGTGTTATATTATATCCTTCTTTAGCCATGTTAGTGGCAAACACTTGTTTGAAAATTCTCAAATGTGAGTTGTGTTATGCTGTTGTCAGGTATTTTGAACAGTTCAAGGAGCTGTTCACAGAAGAAGGTCGTCGGTCAGTGAAGATCACCACACAGCGCCCGAACCAACCAGCCAGTGTGATGTACACACAGACGACACAGTCTCCCAGTGCTACCAGTATCACCATCACTAATGCTCAAGCTCTCCTCAAGCATGCTACTAGCATGGCAGCTACCATCACCACACAGGTCAGTCAGTTTAATTTAGTTGGATTGGAGTCAAAGATGAAACCTGATGATTCTCTCTGCCATACTCTATCACAGACTTTGAGCACAGGCAAATACTCTGGTATTTGGGTCATATGGAGTAATCCTCGATAATCTCCAGGATATACGCTCCGATAAATCTCCACTAGTACCCTGGATGCATCTACGGCTCAGCTTGTGGAAACTGCCCCAGTGGGGCAATAACCTCTGTACTTTGTCAGCATATATATGTACTCCCATCCTCGATAATGTCCAGGGTATACATTCCAATAAATCTCCACTAAGTACCCTGGTTGCACCTACGGCTCAGCCAAATAATTGTTCTACCTTCCTTTGCTGGCTTTTTATCCAATCAGGTGTTTACGCTGGGAAGTTGAGTGTACCAGTCACCTCAGACTTTCTCCCAAGTTAAGCAGTCATGCCATGATACACCCGAATACTGTTAAAAACTCAACTTACTTGCTCACTCCACATGAAGCAGGTATAGTGTGATGAAACTGAAAAATACATGCTACCAAAACAGTGGAGACTCCTTAGTCACTCATCAATATCTAGTTCAGTAATAATTTGGAATTTTTGTATAATTCCTATCAGGTTTGTCTTCTTACTATTTCCCCAGAATGAACCAACAGGAAGTGCGGGTCTGGCAGCCAAGCGGAACATGCCCATCCAGCTATCACTGTCTCTGGGCCCGCCGGGGTCAGGGAGCATCAACGCTGCTGCCAACATCATCAGCCCACAGTCAGGTGAGGAGTTAGTTAGGGAGTTGGGACAGTTGGGTAGCCCAGTGGTTAAAGTGTTCAGTCGTCATGCCGAAGACCCGGGTTCGATTCCCCACATGGGTACAATATGTGAAGCCCATTTCTGGTCTCATCCACCATGCGATATTGCTGGAATATTGCTAAAAGCAACGTAAAACCAAACTCGCTCACTCTCTAGTTATGGAGTTGGTCATGCCACTTTCAATATCATCTCCTGGAATGCGTGAAGCCCAGTCTTTCTAACCTTTACCATAATTACACTTACTTCTTTACTTATCGCTTCCACCTCTGAAGAATCGGGTTAGGATTGGTCTGCCACAACCCATGCTTGTCATGAGAAGTGACTACGCTTGTAATAGGGGGACTGTGCTGGCTGTAAGAGGTGACTCAGCTAACTGGATTGGAGGATGAAGACTATCTTGTCCAGACTCAGTTCTATACAGATTGCTGTCATAGCTGTAACATTGTTGACTAAAGTGTTAAACAACAAACTAAGAAACATCATCATATTTAATTTACTCATTTACTTATTGTTATTCATGTTTTAGTGACATCTTGATTTTTTTTTTTTCAATATTAAACCATTCTCTTCCCACAGAGGTTACTCCTGTCATATCTTCCTACGTAACCTCTGTTCTAATACGGCCATATTTCCCGGTTCCTGTAAAATCCCCTAGCGGCAAAAGATCGCAACACGAATTATCTCCCTTCTTTCCATCCAATCAGAAAGCCTGTTACATCGACTTAGATTCAACTTAACTAACACAAGCAAATGTGGGGCCACAAATATCCCCCATCTGCCGGTGACTTGTGTTGATGTTACACACAAGACGTTTAATGGCTAGCTTGTCCGTTGTCAACGAGGGCGATGGAGACGCCACTGATCCGCCATAACATGACTGAGTTCTGTCTAGAAGAAACGTTTGCGCATTGCGCAGGGGAAGAAGTTTAGTTTTCGCGAAGCCTTGCGAATGATCACTTTTGAAACAACGTCGCTGATTGCACAACTAAATCTGATTGTCTCCAATCACGAGTCTTGAACGCTCACACCATGAAAGGGCCGTATTAGAACAGAGGTTATGTAGGAAGATATGACAGGAGTAACCTCTGTGGGAAGAGAATGATATTAAACATGAGTCATTCTTTAATCAGTTGTAGTTACATCAAATAGATTTGAAGAAAGACACGCAGTAGGAGAAGGCATTAGATAATGATGTTATACCATATATGCAGGTGTTACTGGGACAACCGGAAGTCAGCAGTCGACCAATCAGGCACCACTTGCTGCCCAGCAGCTGACGCTGTCTCAGACCAACCAGTCACACTCATCAACTCAAAGAATCAAGCCGTTCAGTATATCACACTCAAGGTGAGCTTATCCATCTGGAGATTGGAGTAGGTAGCAGCACTCCATTACTGTACAGATGGCAAAATTAGATTGTGTGGTCAGGCTCTTTCACTTGACTGACTGACCGCCTCCGTGGTGTAGTGGTAAGAGCGTCCGCCCAGAGAGAGCGGAAGGTCGCGGGTTCGATCCCCAACCGTGTCATACCAAAAGACGTTTAAATTTGGTACTTTTTGGTCCCTGCCTGGCGCTCGGCATTAATGGGTACAATAAGGACTGGTCGGCTCGGAGTCAGTATAATGTGTCTAAGTGGGGTATTCATGCTTCACTGCGGCATGGTATCTCAGTGGGCTAGCACTATAAAACCAGCTTAAGTCTGGGCTAGTACAAGCAGCCGCACATACACCTACACACGCATGCATGTTGTCATATGAGCGAAATATTCTCAAGCACGACGTGAAACCCAATTTCACCTCACCTCGCTTGACTGACTGAAAGTTATCATAGCTCAATTACATTGATTGATGCTGATGATGTCAATCACTTGATTGTCTGGTCATTGTTGGTTGTGTGGGACATCGGCTGTTCTTTGAGGCACTGGAATATTTGGCCCAGGCTTCATTATTAACAGGCACCTCTAATATCAGCTTTCTTCTAATCTCAAACTGAGGTTCACTTGAAATATGTTTCATGCTTCCCAAACTTGAGCAGTTTATGTACAGATTCAGTACCAACATAGTATTTCTATGTGTTCCATAATTTATTTCCATCAATATAGTATTTCATCAAATTCCCTTAAGTGATTATGGGACAGAAGGTGTCCCATGCACCCTGTTCACTCTGCAACTTCGTTCGTGCCTAGTAGTTAAAGAGTTTGCTCATCACGCCAAAGACCTGGGTTCGATTCCCCGCATGGGTACAATGTGTGAAGCCCATTTCTGGTGTTTCCCGCCGTGATATTGCTGGACTATCATTAAAGATGGTGTAAAACTAAAGTAACACACTCTTCACAACACTTAGACATGTTTAACTGACTGTCTGTCTGTCTGTATTGCAGAGTGACCAGTACTCCAAGTCCAGTGTCCACTCCTACTGCAACTACCACTGGTGAGTACTTTATATCAGTTGTCATGACAACACTATCCAAGATTAGTGTGTCTTCAATACGACTATCAATGTTTCACAAAGCTCAGAGTTTGATCAGACAGTACAAATAGGTTAGGAATTCAGAATATATGATAATCTAAATTCACATGCAGTTGTGTAGAAAAATGGTCCAGTGTGTATTTTTTCACAATCCACATTGACATGACAATGAAGTAGGTTGTAATCAAATCAGGTTATTATATTTGTGGTTACAGCACAGCACCAGTTCATAGCCTCAGCATCCTCAGTACAGACCACTGGCCAGAAGATTCCCACCCCTCGGCCACCCCACCCCACCCCTGTCTCACGGACCCCCACCCCACATCATCATGCCTCAAGGCGGACATCCACCACGGAGTCAGTGACCATCGGTCAGACAGCACAGAATCTCCCGCAAGCCACAAACCTCACCACCTACTTACAAGGTGAGAAGAACCGACCTGGTGTAGTGAGAAGTCACACGTTACCTGTGAAGATCCTGGTTAGAATTGGTCTTCAGCAACCCATGCTTGTTATAAGGGATGACTACGATCAGGTGGTCAGACTCGCTGACTTGGCTGACACATGTCATCATATCCCAATTGTGTAGATCGATGCTCATGATATCAATCACTGGATTGTCTGGCCCAGACTCGATTATTTACAGACTGCTGCCATACAACTGGAAAACTGTTGAGTGCAGTGTTAAACAACAAAGAAAACCTCACCATTGAGTGAGTGAGTGAAAGATGTTTATCATGATTATGTCTTCTTGATGTAATGATTGTTTTTTTAGTTACATTTTTGGTAAATGAATGAGTGAAAGGTGTTTTCTTCTTCTGCATGTTTTATGATTAGAGGAGAGTGGGGGAGAAATCATTTAAGGGAGGTCACCCATTTTGTTCTGGGGAGGAAGGGGCTCATCAATTTTGTACACACGAAAGGAGGTCACCCATTGTTCTGGGGAGGAGGGTCAGCAATTTTGTACATGAAAATATGAAAAAATATGCTTAAAAAAAAAATATGGGAGGGGAGGAGGGGGGTCATTGATTTTGTGCATGGCATGCAGGGTGGGCGCTTACTTTGTACATATAATTTAGTGGGGGTCATTCACATTGTACATGCTTTGATTCATCATGCACGTATGTCAAACTAAACTCAGCTGCAAGGTGTTTCAGGGAGGTGCTTTCAAGGTAATGTTTTGTCTGTTTGCCCAGGTCTGACATCTTCTGGTGCACTGACTGTAACATCAGCTGGAGGTCAGTATCCCTTTACTTCAGGTTCTACCTTACACACTTCACACCTGTTGTAGACCCGTGAAGATACGGGTTAGAATTCATCTTCAGTGACCCATGCGCTGTCATAAGAGGCAACTAACAGGATCGGGTGGTCAGGCTCACTGACTTGGTTGACACATGTCATTGTATCCCAATTGCATGAATCGATGCTCATGCTGTTGATCACTGGATTGTCTGGTCCAGACTTGATTATTTATTCCGCCATATAGCTGGAATATTTCTGAGTGCGACATGAAGCTAAACTCACTCACTCACACCTGTATATCAAAACATGGGGCTCAAAGTTAATACGCAATGATGTGCCTAATATAATCCCCCAAAGATGACTCATGCAGTGGTCTCAAAGCCTCAGGTGTATAGTCATGAATGAAGAATAGGTGTTTCTGGGATTGGAGGGTAGCCAAGTGGTTATTCCTGAAAGACCTGGGTTTGATTCCCATATGAGTTCAGTGTGTCTCACAACCTTATTGCATGAAGCCTATTTCTGGTGTCACCCGCTGTGATATTGCTGGAATATTGCTAAAAGTGGTGTAAAACTGAACTCACTCACTCACTCAAGAAGTATTGTTGTGCTCTGATTCATTCAAATTCATACAGCACACAAATTCAAATTCATCCAGTTCTTTTTGAGATAACTTACAATGACTTTTGAATGTCCTCTGGACTCTGTGTCTTATAAGACAAATATCTTCTTTCAGAGAGTAGCAATATCACCCAGCAGCCTAACCTCCCCACCAACATCAACATCACAAACCTTGGGGGACTCCCACAGAATTTCAACCTTAGTAGTCTGGCTGGTCTCCAAGGCATGAACATTGCCAACCTGCAGGGGCTGTCCAACGTTCAGGTAGGTGCTAAAGGTCACATGCAACCAAAAAATCAAACATAATTAAAACACAATTATCACTTATTCATGACATATAATATATAGTATGACCAGAAATTATTGAGAATTTTAGGAATATGATTAATTGGATTTCTAGTATTAACAACCTTGACCAGCTATCAAGTGCATGGTTTCATTCAAGAGAGACAACTCTGTTAATCCTTTTTCATTAGTTTGTGAAGAGTTATCCCCCTTTGTTTACTTGCTTGCAGACCACATTTTCAGTGATCCTCAGTATAGATGATTTAGAGAAGAGGAAGTTGATTTTAGAGTATTATAACAAGGACATCAGATCAGCTAAAGTAATTTCAAGTAGAACAGGCATCTTGTTTTGAAAAATATTGCAAATGGATATGACATTGAGCACCAGGAAGGCGCAGGTAGGCCCAGAAAATTGACTGTCGGTGACAGGAGGCGGATTGGTATTCTTGTTTCTAAAAACAAACAAAAGAGGTTTGAAAACTTAAGGCTGGATATGATTGATAGAGGAACTGTGGCTGTCTGTAAGGAGACAATTCGAACTGAGCTGCATGCAATGGGTTGGCAGTAAAGTCGAGGAATTCCATCACCAATCATGAAACCTGAACAAAAGGAGCGAAGGTTGAAGTGGTGCTTACAGCATACAAATTTTAACTGGGACAATGTGATTTTCTCAGATGAAAGTTCTGTGTGGCTGTTTACTAATACACTGAAATTCTGGACCAAACAAACTGAAAAATCTTTGTATCAACGCCCAAAGTACAGTCCGAAATTTAACAGGCGGGGTGGCATATCTGTGTTAGGGGCAACGCCCCTCTGTGTATTTAAAGGGAATATGAACAGTGAGCGGTACACAGATATTCTCGAGGGACATTTACTTCCATCTGCTCACGTCTTCTTTCATTTGCTCACATGTTCTATGGAAATTTTTGGATTTTCCAGCAGGACAATGACCCAAACATCGTTCAAAGCATTGACAGGCCTGGTTTCGGACCCAAAATATGACATTATTAGATTGGCCAAGCTATAGCCCCGACCTAAATCCAATAGAAAATGTATGGGGACTTATGAAGGAAAGTGTCAGTAAAAAAAATCTGACAAATATTGCTGAAATGAAAGAAGAGGTGATCTGGTATTGGGACAGCATGGACCACGACTTTCTAACTTCTTTGATTCTTTGATCAGTAGTATGCCCCGCTGCATTGAAGCCTGCACTGCTGCCCATGGTGACTTGACAAAATACTAACTGTTCACCTGTCTTTGTGCCTGGAGTTATGTTCTGCTGATATTCACATTTAATATGTGAGTAATGAGTGAAAAAAATAAAAAAATTACAATCTTTAAATTCTCAATAATATCTGGTTGCACTGTACATTGCTGATTATGAAAAAACATATAAACAAAATTATTTATAAGTGTACAATTGCAAATCAAAAGTGCAATATTTTGTACTTGGGTTTACTTCCCAAGAAACGAAGCAACCGGGATACCGAACCCAGTCAGAGCTGGTTCATTTGCAGATGCCATCACAGGTCATTGTGTGTGTGTATATAGAGATGTTGGGTTTTGTAAATACATGCTCATTTTGTGTGTATAACATTTTGCAATCAACAGACATCAATTGGCAAAATACACTCACCACAATTTTGTCTAACGAGTATAAGAAGTGGTATTACCATGAGTATCCAGCGTGGATTGTGGTCTTTGATGTTAGGTATTGTACAAGGGAACCTGTTTCTTGATTTTTTTCCTTTTCTTTTTTTCCTAGCAAAAATCATTTATTTTTGTCCTTTTTCTTTTTTTCCCGAATACCACTAATAACATGGTGAGTCTTGGGGAGAGTAGTGAGCTTGGGTTCACTACTAGTCAATCTGAATGTTGTATTAAATGGCATTATTTTGATAACAAATGAAAACATTTGAAGTTTTACCATCTGCCAGTGGTAAAAAATGTTAGGACCGAAATAACGAAGTCAATGTACGTCTTTATATTTTGTCTTATAATCCTAATTAGTTTATTATCATGTTTGTATGCATTTTGAAACTTAATAAAATTCACACAATCTGCTTATACTTAGTGAATTTATAACATGATTGTAATATCTAGACATTTTATAGATGGCCAATGTGTATCATATTTCACACACACGCCCTGAGTGCGAGCTAGTGTATGTTGTCTGTCTCATTACACTTCACGGCAAAAAAATTATTCTGTGGAATGCCATAACAAATAAATAAAAACAAAATGCAAATATTAAAATTAAAACAGACTAAAGTTATAGCAACAATATCAGGCTATTACCTTGTTCGGGGAATGTATCCATCAATATCCACACAGGAATGCATTCATCTGCAGCTGACAAAGTATCCTGTTCCATGTCATGTGTCTTTTAACAGTCTAATATGCGCAGAAAGTGATCTATCGTTTCACATTGGTGTATAGTCCCATTGGTCACCCAAGATAGCACACCTGGCAACTAATTGCATGATGTCCGCCATTCTTTAAAAAAGTAATTTGGTTAGCCAATAATGAACAATCAATCAATGTATTGGCAGTTAATCCTTTGAAGGAAGGACGTTGTTTTTACAAAGTGACTTTACGACAGGGCGTATTCAGTATAGATGAGTGAATCTACATACATAAACACTACCTTTTGACAAATCCGCTGTGGAGGATAAAAGCATTTAATCAATCAGCATGTTATCGGTTAATTCTTTGATCGATGTTTGTTTTGTAAGTCAGCTGATAATTCCTCTTACTGCACTTCCATGCGCATATTACATAAGATGTAATACATTTGCCACATCAGACCTCAATTTATAATGATGAGTATTTACTCCAGACACAAGAAATGCCAAATGGGAACCTTTGTCGGGTAATCTGAGTGGTGTTATCACAAATTTGTGACCTGTTATAAATTCATAAACAGACCATCAAGTGAATGATGACAAATAACATGTGTGGGTTTACCACCAAACAAGGGTTACAGCAAGAGAGTAGTAATCACTGTATTGCATGCAAGTTTGATTGCCTGAAAAAAAACCTTATGGGCAGACACTGTTTTGAGGATACGAACGGAACTTCATTGTTACATAAGAAATATATATAAGCATTTGCTGTGTACTTAGTTAAAAACCGTATATACCTATGTACCTAAGTAAAATTTCAGATTTATTTTGCAATGGCAAAGTGGGGTTGTTTATTTTATGGATTCAAATATATCAAATGTGTATTTTTGATATCATAGCATACGTAATACACATCATATTTGTACATGATTAAATATTGAGGTAAAAAACACAGAAATAGGATCAAATTGGATCAGTCACTATACCATCCAAACATTTGAACATCTGAAAAAGCATAATTTTTCCTTATCCTGACTCATGCTTATTTGCTTGTCTCCTTCCTCTTGCGAATGTTAGTGGAACACTTGTATCTCCTATTGAAGCTCCCTTCAATAAAAACAGACGTAAAATCACTACCCACCAAGAGTTATCTGTTGAGCCGTTTGGCGGGGAAACTGTGGCGCCACTGTTCCCACATGCTTCACTCTCTCCTTCTTCACCCTAGCGAGCGGTTGGGAGTGCACCTGGGTCTCCTATATGGCACTATATCCTTTTATTAATTAGTTATTACACTTTATTTTACCTTTATAGAGGTTTAGCTAGTATCTTACAACAATATGGGTTGAAATTTATTCGTATTTTGCACTGTTTATTCACGGTTTGTCCGTGTTTGTTCAGTTGTTTACGTTTCATGAAATCCTGTTTTCGTTGTAGATTTAGATTCTCTGCTGCTGACCCGCATCAACTGTGCCCTAGCTGCACTACGCCATGTACTTCCAGCTTGCACTGCATTTATTGTCAGCAATTAACCAATTTTGCATGTAATTAATACCTTCTTTGCGTACTTAAACGTGCTGCAGACAGGTCAAGACGGCTTTGTCAAGTCATGGATAAGCCGGCTGAGTCCCTCACAGGTCAACTGATGTCAGACGACCCTCTTCCTTCAAGTGATGAGCCGGAGATTCCTCGGGGGACGGGCGTGGGACGTTGTCCGCCACCTCCAAGAAGAGGGCTGCCGATTCGGACATCCCGTCATCGCAGACTAAGAAAAGAAGCCATCCTCTACCCAGAGAAGGCTACACACCCCTAAGACGACGACAACTCTACGGGGACGTCTGCGCAAACTACAAGAACTTTCTCGGCCGAGATTGTTCCGATGACGGAAAGAGGACTCTACGACGAGACGCCGCTCATCATCCCCGAGATACATCACCGCAAGAAGAGGGCCTCAGCAACGGTAACATCAGCGCAGATGTCTACGCAGTCCGAGGTATCTACACTGACGACAGATGAGCGATCCCTGGACCATATCGCTACCAACGCAGAGAGGGCAGCTCATCTCTCACCGCAGACATTCAACCCGGGGGACTTCATGCAGCAGTTGTCACAGCAGATCATGGAAAGGATGGAGAGGCGCTTCGCACTGGAAAGGGCATCACATGATCAACAACCAGCCCGCAGAGCGGACCCAGACCTTCGCGAAGGTTCCAACGCAGACGATGCTTCAGAGAGGCCCTCCAGCAACGTGACGACCGGGAACAGATCTACGCTTCAGGACGCCAACCAGCCTGCACGAAGGACGACACGTCTATCCCCAGATGCCGAATCAGATGATCAGCATTCGCGAAGACACTCGCGGAGGACGACACGTCTATCCCCAGATGCCGAATCAGATGATCAGCATTCGCGAAGGACTTCGGACACAGCTTCAAAGACATTTTCAACATCGCATAGATCGTCGAGGGATTCACTGAGGCATTCGCGAACCAAGAGACGCTCACCTCCGCCACGCAGGTCACCTTACAGACACAGTTCACCGGGCTCCTCTCCACGCCGATCTCCGCGCAGGTCTCCGCGCAGGTCTCCACGAAGGTCTTCACGCAGGTCTTCACGCAGGTCTCCACGCAGATCCCC